ATTTAAATACCACGTTACAAGTTGATCGGTATGCATTTTAGCATTGCCAATGTGACTGGAGTGATTTCATGGAATTAAATGTTTCATTGTATTAAGGAAGATGCAACCCAGAACAATTTTTATATTATTTTATGCTGGTACCCTAAATCACGGCGGGTATGTGGAAGTGCTGCAGTTTAACTCTGGTTTTGTAAATATATATTAAACTGCAGCTTCACCTCCGTAACCCCGTCTCATGGCCCCAATGTTAAAGATGACCATTTCTGTTTTCAAATTTCTGGCCACGTACTAAGCAGTGGTGGATCTTGGCATCAGGTTGAAAGCAATAAGTCCAGCTGGAATTTTTTTAAATAAATCCTAAGTGATAATGCATGCAAGCGATTATATGAGAAGCTCGAATATTCTGCCAATGGCTTCATCTGCTCTTTTTCACATAGATACCCATTGACTCGCATAGCGGCTCATAGACTGACGTGAAAACCCATATATTTAAATAGAGGGACACGTACTTGCATTGAGACCCATCAAAATACACTACTGGAATATGCTGGCAGTGAGTGGCTTCAACATTTGGCACTTTTTCCATCAGAAAGGTGCACGCAGCCCACGCATCTTCCCAACAGAACTGGTCTAGTGGCAGCCCAGTCGTGGTGCATCGTTATTATCACCACATTGCCTGTGTTCCAATGGTCAATTAGGCCATCTGTATGCGCCATCACCGGAGACTGACTTTATTGCCTTCTCAACCTGAAGCCACTAAGCTCGACCGCCTTTGACGCAAAATTGCCGACTCCCACGATGCCCCACGTGTCGTAGCTGTAGCATCAGTTCCCAGCATGCACTGCTTGTCGTGACGCAGGCGTATTTCATGGCACGGCAGTCACGTTAGTGACGTCGCGAGCGGTTGCAATGGGTGCGCTGGGAAAGCCACATGATCTAAACCTTAATTTCTCGTTATCACTAACTTTCGTCAAGACTTGTGTAAGTGTGGGGAACGTGGCTGAGGCGTGTATCTACAATGGGCTGTTTGGATTGTATCTTCCTTGAAGTGTAATATGTGTTATGAACGATGTGCTGCCAGTAGAAAGTAGTCGAGCAAGTAGGTCTATTTGAAAGTAGCAGGTAGGACCCTCATGGAAATGAGATTTACCTATTAATTTCCTTGCTGAGTTTCAAGACTTTCAGGAGGGTCTTGCCATGGAATGTTTGGTCAGTTTCTTATAAAAAATAATAATAAACTGCAATGCGCAGCGATAACCCACACTTTAGAGGAGACAACGCGAAAAACGACTGCACTTACAATTCAGAAACCTACATGCTGTACTGTCCATCACCTTAAAAGCACTGACCAAACATCACAAGCAAAGCCCACTTGAAAATTAGCCTTTAGAGGCCAATGAGCCTTTCCTGAGTAAGTTAATAGTTATTTTGTATTGCTCGTAATATTCACATTTTTAAAAAAAAACTTGGTCAGTATCCTTTGTGAATTCTCAACTCGGCGTATCGCTATACCTTGATGTGATTAACGTGAAGAGGGCACCTTTGGAGGGGACGTTATGTGTGGCTGACGGGCTGTGAGCAGCCAAACAAAAAAATAATTTTGATTGAAAAAAAGCGGTTGATGATTTTTTGGTCCGTTTATTAGACTTGTACATAACGAGTGAGCAGCGTTTTTATAAATGTCAAGCAGTAGGAATATTTAAAATTAAAATCGGAAAATAAAAAAATGTGCTTCATGGCAAATGTAACTTGAGGGTTAAAAACGTTTCCATAAGCAGAGTTGAAAAGACATCAAAGTCACTGTCAAGAGGTCGTCACAGCCGCTGTCATTGGTGCGACCAAACTTCGGCATCGCTTCATTCTGCTCTATTCCTGAACGGTTGCGCAGTCCACACCTGCTCTCCAAAGATCAATAATACAGTCTCATCATGATCACCTAGATTTAGGTCTGGCCCATGACATTTCACTTCTGGTCATCCTCTTGCTTACCTGCCTCTGGGTGCCACTGTGCAGTGTCTTGTCGAACTAACCTGCCCTCCTCCACCATGCACGCGTGTCCCACTGATCACAACCTCCTCCTGATTATATCTTCGATTAATGCTCCAGATGAGGTTTTGGGCCTTTGTGTAAATGTATCTTCACATTCGCATACTATTTTAGTAAAATTAATTTTCAGGTGGTAAAATTGAACATTACCTTCAAATCATGGGCAATTTTTACAAATATTGTACCTTTTGTGGTATGCATTGACTCCAGCCTCACATTTTAACTGCCACGTTACTTTGAACATGGTTTTAAAATAGAAAACTTAAACAGCTTTAAGGACACAAGGGGAAAACCTGAAAAAGTTTCTCAATAAGGATGTTTCAATCTTGATTTGAAGCTTTCGTGACTGCAGAAATCCATACTCTTTGGTTCTTTCGGTAAAGTCACGTAGGTATAAAATAAGAGAAATCACGACGTTTCGGGCGCAACACAAGCGTCCATCAGGTGAGAAAGCGCTTTCCCAAAAGAGCCAAAGAGTAAGGATGTTTCACTTTTTTATTTAAACATACTCTATAGTCTCATCGGGATACATGAGCGAGAAACGTATCACAGGTCCCGAGGGTCATGTGATCGCCCTTTCACTTGCACGCTGCAGTTTTTAGTCTGTCAAGTGAATTTAAGCTGTGCAGCAACATTGCTGTGTATTATTAGGGATTACATTTAAATCTCATACAGAACTTATAATTATTATTGATTGAGTTAAACGCCCAGTACGTGGCTGAACTAGAATGCTAGTCTACTTTGCTTTCTTGCCACGTTCTGTTCTGAGCCACCATGAGATTCCTAGAATCATCTAAATGAACTTGCATTTACAAGTCAGAATCATCTGACTTCTAAGTTGTTCAGTAAGAGATTACTTCTAACTCAAACGTTTGCTTAACGCTACAGTTGACCTATCGACTGTGCTCAGTCATGCGACCCCAAAATAGATTGTAAAAAATAGTTCAACTCTCACCTCTGGTTTCCCATTGAGAATTTCCTAAACATTTCAGCCATTCTCCTGTTTCATATTCACTGAATTTCATCAGCAAGGCCTGACCTCTTAAAGTTAACTCAAATGTATACTTTAATTTGTTTTGGCAGCTTTACCCAGACATGACATTGGCCACATTTGTGAAACATCTGGAGCAAGTGTGGATAATTTAAAAAATCACTCTTGGAATTAGACGCATTTTAGTTCATCACAAGCGGTCATCATTGTGAACTGTCGTCACATGTCAGTTGTTTATTTTTGAAATAAACAAACACCAATACCTCGTTTTATGAAACTAATTTTCTGGATTTTCATCCACGATATTTTGTTTCTGATTGTTTCCAAAGTACAGTCTAGTAAACCCCATCCATATCCGAATTTTAATAAAATTAAGCTTTTCCTGGCATTGTAAGAACGGGTGGTGTATGCACATTTTAGGTAAGCATTGTTCACGAAGATGAGAGACCCAAACCAATCAACCACGCAAGCAAGTCGTATTTAGACAAACATGCCATTCACACGAAATAATTTGATTTGGTCAAAACTGCAGTAATCCAAGTTCTCACAAAAGCAAGGCCTTAAAAAAGATATTTTCAGAAATTAAAATTATTTACAAAGAAAGAACAGCGAGACTGAGATTTTATGTAGAGTAAGGAAATACAAATCAGTGACAATATTTTTAAAAATGTGATATATAAATCCATACACATACTAAGAAAAATTATTAACCTCATTTTCCGACAGTCATACCAATGGAAATTAACTACATAATTTAAGAACTTAAAGGCTGAAAAGTTGGATAAATGAGCAAAACTAAATTAGTATGTATTAAGTTCTATCTGCCAGAGGGATAAAACTGGAAACGCATCAGTGCGTACACATCGGACTTATTAAAGGTGTAATGGGGTAAAAACGATTAAATCAAAGACGCTGACAACAGCGGGTAAGGGCGCTTTTTGTAAAGCAGAACTGAATGAAAAGCAACACAGTCGTGTTCATTTAAAATATGAAAGTATTTTTTACATCACCTGCTTTGACATTGATCATAAATATGGACAATTATGAATACATTACTGCATAACAAAATCTGATGAGTGCAAAGAAGCGTGGAGAGGTGCTTGCGTGTAGAGTAATACATGTGAAAGACAAAGACCCCCCCCCCACCCACCCACATAGCCTTTAACAGACTATCAGGGCCGCTCCGGTACACGAGGTGGTGGACGGGGTGTGAGCAGCCCCACGCCCAACTGCCTTTGTCTCCCCAGTGGCGATGCTTTACACACCTCACTGATTTCAGGCTGAGTCGACCTAGGTGAGGCCCAGGCCAGGATCAGAAAAAATCGTCACTGGTGCTGGTGGCCGTGAGCGGCAGGAATTGATAGTCGGGTGGCCCGGGTTTGTAGCGCAATTTGCGCGCACGTGCTCCGGTTCGCGCACACCAGGACCACGTGCGCGCACACCCGGACCACGTGCGCGCACACCCGGACCACGTGCGCGCACACCCGGACCACGTGCGCGCACACCCGGACAACGTGCGCGCACACCCGGACCACGTGCGCGCACACCCGGACCACGTGCGCGCACACCCGGACCACGTGCGCGCACACCCGGACCACGTGCGCGCACACCCGGACCACGTGCGCGCACACCCGGACCACGTGCGCGCACACCCGGACCACGTGCGCGCACACCCGGACCACGTGCGCGCACACCCGGACCACGTGCGCGCACACCCGGACCACGTGCGCGCACACCCGGACCACGTGCGCGCACACCCGGACCACGTGCGCGCACACCCGGACCACGTGCGCGCACACCCGGACCACGTGCGCGCACACCCGGACCACGTGCGCGCACACCCGGACCACGTGCGCGCACACCAGGAGCACGTGCGCGCACACCCGGACCACGTGCGCGCACACCCGGACCACGTGCGCGCACACCCGGACCACGTGCGCGCACACCAGGAGCACGTGCGCGCACACCCAAACCACGTGCGCGTTGGACTGCAAGGGACGGCATAGCCGGATGAGAACGCCTGGGTGAGCGACTCCCACCCATCCCCGGCTGCTCGGGGTGAGGGCGCTGTTCCCTCGCCCCCAACACGGGCATCGCAGTCGGGAGGCGTCGCCGCCGCCACCACCACCATCACAAACGTCGCCAACATCGTCATCATCAACAGCAGCAGCATCACCAACGATCGTCATCTGCGTCGCGACGAGCATCGCTTCCGACTCGAGAAACTCACGGCGGCCGTCGTGTGGTCAGTGGAGGAGAGTGAGGCTCATGGAGGAGGGTCTGTGAGCACGGGCGGTGGGGTAGGGGACACCCCACACAAGAGGGAAGTCGAAACCGATACGCGCAGAGATGTTCACTGCGATACGGAGTTTCGGCGACGCCGGAGCGCTTGAGGACGAACGCGCCTACTGATGCAGAGATAAACGCGGGGGCCGACTGAGTCACGACGGGGGTGTGGGTTCGCTCCCAGAGACGTGGGGATGCGGAGACACGCGGGGACACAGAGACAGACCGGGAGGCTCACCCCGAGAGGAAGGAGAGGTGAGACGATCGCTACCACCACGGCGAACATCACCAACGACGACCACTATACCACTACAGCCATCACCACTAACATCACCGCTACCGTCACCGCTAACAACATCGCCAGTAACATCATTACAACACCGCTAACTTCACTTACATCATGAGTTATATTACGTCACTATTTACATCATTACTCCCATCATCTGTACCAAAGACAAAGATCCCCCGTGTAGCCTGTAACAGACTGTCGGGGCAAGTGCTGTTAGCGAGCACCTATGAAGGCCGGCACGGCACACGAGGGGGTGGGTGGCCGCCTTTGTCTCCCCAGTGGCGATGTTTACACATTTGAGGCTGAGTCGACCTAGGAGAGGCCCAGCACTGGTTGGGATAATCGTCACCGGTGTTGGACCGTGACCGGGTCGCCAGGTTCGTAGCGCAACGCTCTTACCGCTACACTACCGCTCCGCTCCCGTCACCACCAACACCGATACATTCACCACTACCATCGCGATAATAAATACTATACCAACACCACTACCATCACCTTCACCACAACTACCACCGCCCACCACCATATCACCACGACCACCACTGCAACAACCATCACCACTGCAACATCCACCCCACCCACGTATCAATTGTGGGTTCAATTCCGACTTTCAGCCGCCCGTGATTTAAATTGTCGTGAGTTGAATGGTCTCAGTTCGGTGACCAATGAACGCACAAAAGCCATCGCATTTGAATTTGGTTTTAACTTCGGATAAAACCCAGCTCCGAGGATTGAAGACGTCCGCTTGACTGCCATGCGATGAACACTTGTTGTAGCAGAGCACGTGGGAAGTGCGTCCATTGGCGTCAATAAAGGTCACTTGAAGGGTTCTCTGAAGAACAGTCGCACAGGTATCTCCTGTGCACCGTCTATTATCACGCGGTGATGCATTGCTTACTGTGAGAGCTACAAATAGGTTCTGCATCACATGACAAGACGCAAATAGCACAGATGGAATGAAATACAACATAGAAAACAACATCAATACTGCCATCTCCACAATCATTACCACCACTACCAACAAAATCTCCACCAATACCACCACAATCACCTTCACCACAATCACCACTACCACCACCAGCATGATCATCAACAACCACCACAAAAAACCATAACCAGCCCTACCAACATCACTATCATCACCGCCCCCTCCCCTCCATCAACCGGCCTCACCACCCCCCTAACCGTTTGCGTCTGCGTCTCTTTCAGCTCGCGGCGCTGACGACCGCGTGGAAGACGGTGACGGGGATGGCGACAGTAACGCAACCACGAAGTTTCACACCCAAACTGACCCCGCTGCCGCCGGCACCACCAGCATCGCCGCCATCACCGCCCCCACTGGGCGCCGTCTGCCGTGCCCCGTCTGTGGCATGACCTTTGGCAAAGCGGCTGACCTGCGCCGCCACCAGTCGATCCACACGGGTGAGAAGCCCTTCGGCTGCCCGGGCTGCGGCAAGCGCTTCCGCCTGCGCTCGTACCTGGCGAGCCACCGGCGTACGCACACGGGAGAGAAGCCCTTCTCCTGTGCCGAGTGCGGAAGAAGTTTCTCGGATCGCTCGGACCGCAACGCCCACCAGCGCTCGCACCATGCCGCGTCCGCCTGCCCGCTGTCGACGTCGTCATCTTTGCCGGCGAAGTCGCCGGCCCCCGCGCACGCCTGCGCCGTGTGTGGCCGTCGTTTCGCCAAGCCCTCGGCGCTGAGACGACACGAGGCGACGCACGGGGGCCCCGAGACCAAGCGCCACGTCTGCCGCGAGTGCGGCCGCGCGTTCCGGCATTCCGGGTCATTGGCCCGGCACGAGGCCGCACTGCACGGTAGCGGCAATGGCGGTGGCGGTGATAGGAATGTTGGCGATGGGATTGGTGGTGGCGGCAGCATTGGCACTGGCGGCCGAAGTGCTGGCAGCGATGACGGTGGTGTTGGTGGTGAATGTGGTGATGTTGGCATTGGTGCCGGAGATGCTACTGCTGCTGCTACTACTGCTGCCAGTCTCGTGCGTGCCACGGCCAGTCCCGCGGTTTTCTCCTGCGCCAAGTGCGGCAGGGAGTTTCGGAATGCCGCCGCGGTGGCCCGGCACGCAGCGGTGCCGGGGTTGTGCCGCGAGCCGCACGCCTGCGGTTTCTGCGGGAAGAAGTTCGCGCGGCCGTCCGTGCTGCTGAGACACGCGCGCACGCATACGGGCGAGAGGCCCTTCGTGTGCGCCGAGTGCGGCAGGGCCTTCACGCAGAAGGCCGTGATGGTGAAGCACCGCAGGGTGCACTGGCGCCAGAGGAAACTTGCCTCTGCTGCCGCTGTTGGCGGTACTGCCGAAAGTAGTGGAGAGGGTTGTGTTGCTCAAGGTGGCTCTGTGGGTAGTTGTGGTGGTAGTGGTTTCGTGGGTGTTGATGGTGATTTTCTGAGCGGTCGTAGTTATGGTGATGGTGGCGATGAGAGTGGTATTTGCGGTGATGGTGGTGCTACTGCTGCCACCACTGCTTTCACTCCTGCTTTCAGCGCTGCTTCCATTTCAACATTACCGTCTGCACTGTCTTCATCTGATTGTTCTTTATCTTCTGCTCAGTGTTTGTCTGACCGAACTTTAGCTCAATGTTATTTCCACGACGCTTCTCGGAGTTTATCGCCTTCGCAATATTCTTCAATTCCGTCTGCTGCTGCTCAGTCTTCTACGACGTCATCATTTCCTGCGTTGTCATCGTCGTCTAACCCCTCGGTGCCATCGAGCGATGGTGGTGGTGGTGGTGAAGACGGTGGCTGGAAGAGTCACCCATGCCAAGATTGTGGCCGGGTCTTTGCGGACCGCGCGTACCTGGTCTACCACAGACGCACGCACACGGGGGAGAGGCCATACGTGTGCGAGGAGTGCGGAAAACAGTTCCGACACTCGTCCAACCTCAGCCAGCACCGCGTCGTCCACTCCGGTATCAAGGCCTTTAAGGTGAGCAGCATATGGGTGAAATATGGGTTACAGTGCTAGATCTGGGTGTCTGCATGTGTCAGTTCGTAATGGCCGTGGCAGGTTCATCAGCGCCTTGTTGGATTAACAATGCCTGTTTTGGGTTCATAATGGTTGTGTTGGGTTGATAATGGCCGTACCAGGATCATAATGTCTATCAGACACAGGAAGCACTACTGGTATCCACACTTGCATCAGTTTAATTCAAATTAGGGTTCACATCAGTGGTGAGTGATATCAGAACCAATTCTGAGTCTCTCCTAGGTCGACTCGGCCATAAATGATTACCTGGTGTTTAGTAATAAAAACATCAGCATTGAGGAGACAAAAGCCGGTTGGGCAGGGTGCTGTCTACACAACCCCCTTGTGCGCCATGCTGGCCTTTATAGGTGCTCGCGAATAGCACGTGTCCCAACAGTGTGTGTGGGCTATCCAGAGATGTTTATTTTTGAAGGCTTACAAATCATCGCAATTTATTTTATCACCAAGTGTTTGGCAACAATTGATCAATTTGGCTGGTATTCAATGGAGTAAATCCGTCATAGCAACTACAACTTTATATTGGATCATCTTTAAGAGCATTACTGTGCCTGCGTGTGACACATTGGCAGGCGAACCAACAGATGGATTGAGCTTAATGCATTCACACGTGGAAAAGCTTTAAAATCAACTGACCACATTGATCTGCTCAGCAACTGATTATCCCAACCAGTTCTGGGCCTCCCCTAGGTTCACTCGGCCTTGAACGAGTACCTGGTGCTGTGTGTAAACATCTCCACGACAGGGAGAAAGGCGGCAGGGCATGGTGCTGGCCACCCAACCCCCCTCGTGTGCCGTGCCGGCCTTCGTAGGTGCTCACTAACAGCAATTTCCCCCCAATATTCTGTCCAAGGCAATAACACGGGTGTGTTGGGGGGCATCCTTTTTCATCCTTGTCTGGTGTGGGGGGGGGCAGTGCGAGGAGTGCGGGAAGACGTTTGCCCGGAGCTCCTTCCTCAAGGTGCACGCGCGGGTGCACACGGGCGAGAAGCCCTACCGCTGCGTCGAGTGCAGCGCCTGTTTCGCGCAGCAGGCCGGGCTGAGGCAGCACGCGCGCCGACATCTCCGGGCTCGAGGTGCAACGACGGCGCCGGCAGAAGAAGAAGCGGCACCAGCGGAATGTTCTTCAGGACTGTCGGTCGTATCGAGTCTACGTCGAGCGCCTCAACTGTCGGCGCTCTCGTCAGGACCTTCAACGCCGTCACCGGTGGTGTCCCCTGTCGCATCAATGGTGTCTTCAGGAGCTTCCAGACCATCGACGGTGATGCCTCCGGTTTCGTCGGTGGTTTCTTTAGGACTTCCAGAAACATCGATGTGATGTCCAGTAGCATCGGTAGCATCAATGGTGTCTTCTGAATTTCAGGTTGCACCAGGACTATTAATGGCACCTACACCAGTACCATCAATTGTACCTCCAGTTTCATCGTCAGTGTCATCACCTGTCCCTCTGCCAGTAGCATCAGCACCACAATCACTGCAATCATTCGTACCGACAACGATACAATCAGCAGCTTCAATGACGCCTACAATATCAACGGAACTACCATCGGCACCATCGTCTGTACCGTCAACACCACAACAGCCGCTGCTCTGCTCAATGGTGGTGGTGCCCGTTGAGGAGGTGGTGGTGAAGGATAGCGAGGAGATGGAGGGTGGTGTGGAGGCTGAGGAGGCGGAGGAGGAGATGGGAGAAGAGATGTCCTATCAGCGGCTGGCCATGTTGTTTGGTCAGGACGGGACGACGTGATCCAGAGGGTGACAAGAATGGATGGTCCTCAATGGGTTCTCGCCTCATGAAAAGTCAATGAATATTAACGAACATGCAAACGCATACAATTAACTCCAGCATTTACAGTATTTTATTTTGTACACATACGCGCAAAAATAAAAAGTTACTTGAATTTTGTAAAAAAAAAAACCTTCGCTGAATTTTTGTTTGATTGGGTAAGGAGTGGTTTAGTTTAGAGGCTCAATTCTGGTTCCTAAGCACTGCAAATAAGGGGCCGTCCATAAATGACGTCACGCACCTAGGGGGGGGGGGGTCAGACATTTGTGACGAGGGGGGGTTTGAGATGTGACGTCCCATCACATTCTACTTAATTAGACTTAATACATTTTTTCTCCTACAACATCAGAGTGCAGCGCCACATTAAATACGCACTACAATGACAATAGTTTAAAGCGATTTGAAGCATGTTTTATTTTTTTTGGGGGGGGGGGCAAAGCTTTGTGACGTCATTTAAGCTGGGTCTGACTTTTTGTGACGCCGTGTGACGAGGGGGGGGTCAAAAATCGTCCAAAATCGCGTGACGTCATTTATGGACGGCCCCAAACGAGAATCTTAATAATATGTATTAAACTGGAGGAATCGGATGAGCTAAAAATCTATTTTTCACAGTTGTCCAGCAGAGTCCCACAAGGGACTCTCCGTGCACCCCCCACACCCCACTCGTGGCCACCTTTACTACACACCGCACCAGCGACACATTTAAGGCTCAGTCAACCTAGGGGTGGCCCATGACAGGTTGAGATGCTCGTCGCTGTGAGCGGGAATCGAACTCGGGTGTGCCAGGTTCGTAGCGCACTCTGCGCTAACCGCTACGACACTACCGCTCCCCACACACAACACACACATAACACACAACATAACACAATACACATGCAACACAACACAATACACGCAACACACCTAACACACAGCATAACACAACATAACACAATATACATAACACACAACATAACGCAATACAAACAAAACACCTAACACACAGCATAACACAATATACATAAAACACAACATAACACAATACAGATGCAACACAACACAATACACACAACACACCTAACACACAGCATAACACAACATAACACACAACACAATACACAAAACACACAACATAATACACACAACATAACAATACACATGCAACACAACACACGTAACACACGACACAATAAACGCATAAAACACAACACACCTAACACAGCATAACACAAAACGCACAACACATAAACCCACACAAAACAACACATAAAACCGAACACACAAACAACATAACACAACACACAACATTAAACACCACATAAAACAACACAAAACATAACACACGCGCCACCCTGCCGGATTATAAGACGCAGCAAACCCCCCCCCCCCACGTAACAACGGTGTCATCGTGACGTCACCCGCGATGCGTTTACACGACGTCATCGCCGCGATGCGTTTACACGACGTCATCGCCGCGATGCGTTTACACGACGTCATCGCCGCGATGCGTTTACACGACGTCATCGCTGTAAAGCTTGCGGCGGTGACGTCATCGGGGCCCGCGCTGTGAGCGCGCGCTTCAAACGACGACGGCGGCGGTGGCGTTCAGAGGCTGAAAGTTCGGCGGAAGGTGGAAGGAGGTTGGTTGTAGAAGAAGGTCGTCCACAACAGAGGTGGGGTTTTGTTGTTGTTGTTGGGTGAGATCGCAGTAAATGTTGTGTCGTTAAAACCCGACACGGCCCAACGTCGTCAGCTTCGTAGTCCACGTAAACAGAAGGCGCCAATTCGTGACGCGAGTGCGGCGTGGTGAAAGAAGCAAATCCACAACATTTTACAGATCCGAGGACGACGTTTACTCGCCGGTAACTTATCACAACCGGCCTCATCAGACGGACAGACTTTACCACCCACCCCAAGGGAGAGATCGTGTACACAACTTCGGGTGCGCAGCCGGCACCGAGCGCCATAGCGGGGGGGGGGGGGGAGGCGTTTAAAAGGTCAACACACAAAGGGCAATTCTAGATTTGAAGCTTTCGTGACTGCAAGGATTCATACTCTTAGGTTTTTTCGGTAAAGTCACGTAGATAAAAATAAATAATAAAACAATAGAAATACTAATTATATAATGCTTTCAGATAAATAATACAATCTTGGAAATACTGATTAAATATTTTTTTCATTTCTATTTTTTTTTACCTACATGACTTTACCGAAAACACCAAAGAGTACACAACGGGCAACACAAAGAAGAAGGTTCGCTTGTCAGGGGTGCCGAGTGTTGGGCAAGATGATCCCTTATGTTAGCTGCAATGGGTCGTAGCTCGTATAGCCAACACCAAGGCTTGCTCGGAGAGCATTGGCGAGGTTTGAGGCTCACGGCGCCAGACTTTAGGGCTCCTCATTAGACCTCCTTTGCCAGTACCAAAGTATAATAATAATAGGGGTTTTCCTCTTTTTTTATGGCAACAAAACTGAAACCTTTTTACGAGGATTCATGTCTGCATTAACCACGATACTTGCAGTCAAAATGGGGGGTTAACCCAAATGCGTAGCTTGCGTATGGGGGGTCTACTGACAATGTGCGTACGCATAGGAAATGGGGGGGGGGGTGAAGTCTCGAAAATAATTTGTCTACATTGGCCTTCAAATGAGCCACAGTTCAGTGTCTTCAGCTGTCAGACAACAAGTACTAGCGGGAGAAGTGGGACTGTGGGAGAGGTGTCACTTCGTGTGTCACCGTGCCCCTGACTCTGCAGCTATCACGCAGCTCGGTAAAATAAGTGGCCAAGGTAGGCAACTTAATTCTTTAATGCAGCCGGAGGTGGACTATGTTTGCTTCAACACCTTAATAATATTAATCCTTGATCGTTTCTGCGTGGAATTAAATATCGGTCGTTCTATAGGATTCGGGGTGGGGGGTGCGTCAAGCGTACGCACGCAGGTGGGGGATGTAAAAAGTCCGCGTGCGTACAGGGATGGGGGGAGGGGTCAAGTTTTGTCAGATGTTTGCGTACCTACTCAATGGATGTCCCCTCAAGGCAAGCGGCGTTTCTCCCCCACAGTGGCGATGCCTCCGCCGTCCTCGCGGAGTCGGCCGCTGCGGATGAAGACAGCGACACGGAGGCCCGAGTGGGACGTGAGTTTCCCCGTGCCGCGAGCTTACTGGGGAAAATAAGAAAATACCATATCTTGTCAACCCATACGGTTTACCCTGATTCCTGTGCAGGGAAATTGAGTTTTCAGGTTCATACGGCATACAAACGTTTCAATGCGGGCAACAGCAACAAAAATGTCTATTTGTTTGTGTTTCTCCCTTGTGATGGGACTTTGTAGGATAGACGTTGGGATTTATAAGGGCACGGGGTGACCAATAAGGTCTGAATTGATCTGTAATAAGGTAGGCACTGATAAGGGTTTGACAGGTATGCAATACCTCGAGAAATGTGATTTTTTTTTGTTATATATAAATGCAATTGACAAGAACTACGAAAACTAACAAGTCACTACCCCCCTCCCACCCCAAAAAACTACAATTTGGCTAAAATGAAAAAAAAACTCGATTGTTTTTTTTATTTCCAAAAGTCAGTTCCAAGAAGAATAAGTGTCTGTGGGGCTTCGGTGTAGGCAGCAGAGGGCAGCATCGTAAATTCAGTCGCCTTCGCCAATATGGTGAAGTATAATGAAATTGCCCACCCAGCCTGCCCACAAGTATGTTCGGTGGCAAAATTCTGGCGCAATGTACTGTACTACAAACCTGGGTTATATTCCCGGCCACGGCTCATAGGTTCTGATATGACTTAGTGGCCGGTGATACCCGAACCTGTTCTGTGCCTCCCATAGGGAGATCAACTCAGCCTTAAATAAGTACCTGGTATGGTGTGTTAACTTTATCACTGACGAGACAAATGCAGCTGCACGTGGCTCTGGCCAAACCTGCCCTTATATGGCACCTTAACTGATGCTTGCTAACAGCACTTGCCCAAACAATCTGTCAAAGGATCCACTGGTTATCATTGTTTTTATTTGCGTGTTACAGGACACTGTCTCTGACCTCACCGTATACCGTGCCACCCCTCAGGAGATGGTGAGGATTTTTTCATGTCTGAGTAGCTCTAAGGGTGGGATGGTGTACTGGCAAGCTCCCACACTAGGCCTTTAACCTTATCTTTGTAAGTTGCCTCCTGTTAAGCTTTGCTTCAAATCAAGATTAAGCTTTGCTTGTTGATGATATTAGAAATCCTATAACCAGACTGCTTTTAGCCTGCCATGAAAATGTGGAATTTCCATCACTGGCTCAGGGTCACAGATGAATGAGTGCCGGTCACACTCATTTGGTCAATATTTTTGGCAAAGCCTTGCCTAAAATGGGCATTATAAACCTGACACTCCCATTTTGAACCCTTCTAATAAACACACACAAACCCATTGTTCAAACCCAGGACAAAAGCAGTGTTTGCTCAGTGTCTCTGACATTCTCATTATGAACCCTCTGAGAGAGACACACACCTGACCCAGAGCATTAACCTGGGATTTTAAGAGTGTTGGCTTTGTGTCAATATCGCTGGTGTGATATAATCATTATAAACCATCTTACAGATTTACACCCAATCCCTGGGATTGAACCTTAAATCTTGGATCTCTACCGTGTTGGTAAAGTGTATCCTAACCAGCTTAATTGGTCCTGGATCGATGTTTTTGACATGTCCATCATGAACCTTTATGCATTTTCGTTGGCAGGAGAAGCGTCGCGAGAATTCCCGATCATCAAATGAAACTCGGCCCTGGTCTCGTGGATCAGGATCGCACAACGCAATGGTAACACGGGAGGTCAGTATATCTATGAGTGTGTGTACCACAGTTGGCAGTGGGGAGCACAGGTGGTGCATCTGCCAGTCATCTCTATCAGCCCATAACACCTCCGTCTGTCCCGTGACCTGCCAGCCTTCAACACTTCATGTGGCCTCAAAGTGCAACTAGCCTGGCACAATGGTATTGTAGTATAACACTGCACTATCAATCCATCGAGTGATGTCTGAACCCCTTCTGAGCCCCTGCTAGGTCGATTCGGCCATAAATGAGCACCTGGTATGTTCAGTAAAGGGAAGAAAAAGGAAGCTGACCATGGTCCTGGCCACATCACCCTCTCGTGCGCTGTGCTGCCTAGTAATATGTGCTTGCTTACAACACTTGCCCCAAGGCTATACGGGGGATCTTTGCATGTGTCTGTGTGTGTTTACAAAGCCTCTCCATCCATACTACCCTGTGTTTGTGCTCTAGGTTCTCTCTCCATGGAGAGATATTCATGATGTTCTGTCAAAATCGGATCAAACACTGGTGGATGCGAGGGGTGCGTTTGGAGAAAGACTCTTCCGACACACTGGTTTGTACAACCGATGCCCTCTGACCAACCGATGCCCTCTCCAAATTACCTCTTCACCAATTCTCCACCTCACTATCACCCACTCACCAAATTATCCACCAACTCACTCCCTCAACAACTCACCCATTCACAAACTCACCAACTTATGAAATCGAGCAATTGCTAGCTCACCCACTCAGCTCGTGGTCCCATGCCAGCCCAGCCGATTTGACACCAAGGAGTTGAAAATGTCAGCCCCCAGGATCCCATTCCTGTCCCATTCAGCACATGTTCACCTGGGCTGACCTGATCAATCATGACATCATGAGGTGAAATCAGAGATGCATATTTTATGTATGTTGTTATGTTAGCATTTCTATACACTTGTATGTTTGTCTCTATATATATTGCTCATATGTCTCTGTGTTTCTATATGTATCTTTGTGTCGATATGTATGTTTGTGTATGCGTGAGTCTACGTTAATGTGCCCATTTATGTAGCTCTGTACGTATGTTTGTCTTCATTATATGTGAATGTCTCCATCTATACATCCATAGGTATGTATCTGTGTACGTATGTGTTTGTCTCATGTATGTCTCTCGTGTGTATTTGTGCAGGTTTCCCAGCCGTGACCCGTGCCCCTGGCGTGACCTCGTATGACCCTCTCCTAGCCTCACCACCCCCTTGCCGCACTCAGCTTTCCCTGCTCAGTGAATCCGTCATGGCAACACGGGTGAGCTACAGCAATAACACGGTGCCACAGTAATCGCTATAGTCCTGACACACTACACAATATTGCTTTATCCCTACACATGTACTACTCCAGCCCAGATATTCACGCGACACTAGCCAACATACTAATACTGTTCTACACAAAACATGATAGTCGTGGCGCAGATATTCACAGCTCTGGCATTACGTTCAGCACTAACAGTATTCATAATATTGATATGACAGTACAGTACCTTGTCCATACACTAGCCCTGACAATCACACTACCGTAGCATTTAAATTTCACTACACTTTCATACACCACAACATCAGCCAATTAACATTAAATTAAACTGTGCAAATGTGTTTAGCCTCAAAAAGTGTTTGAAATGTAAGTTGGGGGAATTGTTTTACCCCGTGGGTTCAATCCCAACCCCGACGCCTATATAGTTGGAATTTGCATGTTCTCCCCGTGGTCGAATGTATTTTTTTCCGGGTCCTCCGGTTTTTCTATCCACGTTTATAAACATGTGTTTATAGTATTTAGCCGCTATAAATTTCCACGTGATAAGTCACTTTGTTTACCTATCATTTGTAGCCAGGTTGCTTATTGGGCCTTACTTGGTAAAATAAAATAGCTTTTAAAAAGTTTTCCTAGTATAAATGGGTGTACAGTATGTGTGTGTATATATGTGACATCACATCAACCTACCCACTAATATCTTTTACGGGATGCACTTTATTTCTCCTAGAAGAAATGTCTAAGTTGGTGACTATATTAATCTATACATCGTTATTTGTGATGCGTGTAATATTTGTGTGTATGTGTGTACATGTTGGTGTGTGTTTATACACGTGTGTATATTTGCGTGTGGGTGTAAACATACCTCTCACATTCAGGCTTTGAACGACATTGGAAGCGAAGCTGAACATCATTGGAAGGGATCACATGACCCACGATCCATCCAATCAGACGAAGACCTGGATGTGACTCCCTCTTCGCAGCCGAACCCCCATGGAGGTCAGGGGCTTCTCATTTAGAAACAGGCCCAGGCTGTATTTTTCTAGACCAGCCCTAGGCAGCACTATCCTAAATTGGGCCCAAGTTGAAACTTAATGGAGAATTCAGCCCAAAAACAGACAGCTCTTCTCTATAAACCACACATTTAGGCTGTTTGGTACACGTTGGAATTTCTTTAGCATTGAAATACTCTGAAGTGATTTTTCAGGCTTGTTCTTATGATAGCATTACAGTGATTGTGGGAAAAAAATTCACAATATTTAGATTTTCCTAGTTACAAACATGTTATCTTTTTACCAGGTTTCAGCCTTATAGGGCTTCTAGAACATAATTTATATGGTTCACCCGCAAAAGACTATATAGATATTGGATGTATGTGTGTACTGTACATCAATATGGGCACGTGTATTCACAGCCGCTCTTAACAACACGGAAGCTGTGCAGCGCGTGGCCTCACGACTCTGCCAGGGAGAGTCAAAGGAGGATGGTGGGAGCCTCCCAGCAAACAACGATCACACCCTCCCACAGAAAGACTCGCGTCACAACAACAGCAACAACAACAGCAGCATCGATAGCAGCAGCAGAAAGCATAGTAACTTTGAGGGTAAGATATTTGTTGTGGTCATGGTATTGGAAGTACACCCTAGGGTGAGAAGACACATTACCAGCACCGCTGAGGTCCAGTTTCAAGGTTCGCACCCTGGGATCGAGTGTTGCTGACTCAGGGATTCGTAATGGCCATGTAAGAGAGGCTAATCCCCGCAGCTTGAGCTCAGTGGTGCAAGCTGAATGTCTGATATTATAATCTATAAACCTGACATGGCCATTACTATCCTCCTGGGAGCCACCCACGCTCAAGGCTTGAACCCAGGACCTCATTACAGATGGCTTAGCGTCTCCAATATGACCATTTATTAACATAGCATCATCTTCCTAAATTCTACACAGCCGAAATGAACCCACAAAAAGACACCCAGACCCAAGGCTCAGACTGAGTTCATGAACAGATACCTTGGGAGTATTTTCCCTTCACATGCATGGGTTATCTCCGGGTGCTGCAGTGTTCTCCCATATGCAAATGCTCCTTAAAAAGGAATAAACTAAACATCCGAATGCAGGTTCCTCCTTGAGAATATTAGTGTGGCTTTCCTGGATAAATTGAATATAATTATTGTTATTGTGTGAGATGTTGTTTTTATGAAATTATTATTCAAAGCCTAGGTGGTTCCACTCATCTCTGTTGACAGCCCTGAGGGAGTGGTGGAAAGTCCACATTCCCCTGGTGGGAGCCACTTGTTCAATAAGAAATTGACTACTTTTGAATTAAGACAAAAGAGTGCCACTCATTTAATCAACCCCAGAGGGATGATGATGGTGGAGTTGTTTTTTTTATAATTCAGTGATGGTGATTATGGTTTTATCAATCATTTAGCAATAATAATATTTACGACATTGCAAGGGTTTGTGTGTGACACTGAGCAACTGTGCAAATGCTTTTCCCTTTCCCTCACCTTCATGCAGATCCAGAATTGGCCTCTAAGGTTCATCAGCTTTTGTCCCGACTGGAGATTGCTGTAAAGGAGTGTGGACGCACGGACATGGGTGTCTCCGAGTCTCAAGCATCTGTCTCCCCAGATGCTAGAGACTTGGAGTCCTTGACTCCAAAGTCTCTTTCTCCGTGGGTCTACGCAGAGGCTGCACTGAGAAACCTGGAGAAAGTGACATCACTACTCACTGAGGTGTTGATGGTTATTATGGCGGTGGTGGGTATGGGTAGTGGTATTTGCGGTGGTGGTGTTGTTGGTAGTGATGGTGGTAGTGAAGATGATGCTCGTAATATGAATGCATGGTCATGATATTAATGATGTTACTAATTATGATTGTTGTTATTGATTCTGTTGACAATGATGCTAATAATGGTTATATAAATGTTACTAATGCCTACGGTGTTGATGGTGCTAATTGGTAGACCCGGAGCGAGGTGTCTCGTCTGCGTGAGGAGCGATCCCTCCTCCTCGCCATTACAGCCGAGATGATGTCAACCCGTGATGACATCGCTCTCCTGCAGGTACCATGCTGCCTTTCGCTCTGCACGAACAGCACCTTTCGGTGTGCTTGGTGGTCACATGGCTGTGCTTATTAGGTGCTTGCTAACAATATGAATGTATGATCTTGTGTGATAAATGGTGAGGTTCATTGCGTGAAATTTAGAAAATGATGTTGATGACATTTTCGTGTAGTTTCTGATAAGGATGATGTTGATACCAATGAGGTGAATAATGATCAGAATACTCAAGATGACAGTGCTACTGTGATAATGTGTTGAAAATAATGTTATCTGATGTTAATTATTTATCTTTTGGTGGTGGTGGTGGTGATGTAGGTAATATATATGCATGTATGTTGAACTGTTCCACTATACATAGCCAACTGTTCTAATAGGAGGTGCTGATGATGGTGTTTAAGCTACTGCTTATTATGCTGTTGGTGTTACAGGTTCGTCTGCAGCATCATGTTGTCTCTGTGGAGGAGGAGATGATGACCGTCAGGCACACACTGGCATCGCTCAGCTCGTCTAGTCCCGGTGACTCAGCTGATCATCTCCAACCCATTACCATCACACAGCTTTTAACATTGTTTTTTTACTATTGTGATGGTGGTTTAGTTGTCAATGTTAGTATTGTGGTTGCTTTCTTGGTGTTGATGTTCAGGCACTACTGGGAAATCAGCTCAGGTTCTAACCCAACAACTGTCACAGAAAAATGCTGAGAGAGATAAACAGGTGAGATGATGATGATGCCTCCAGTGGGAGGTCGCTCATTCTTCTCTGTTGCCCCCATGATCTGGATGTCTCGTACCTCATTAAATCCACCCTGTTGATTCCTTGCCCCTGTTCAAGTCCAGGCTCAAGACTTCCCCTTTTCCCTCTGCCTATTTATGCCTCTATTTACAAAAAACACCCACCCCTTCTTTACAGCGTCTGGAGTAGTGATCACATTTAGATGCTAAATACAAATTGCATTGGTCATAAAAATGCTAATATTTTGCTACTGCTGATATTGATTCTGCTTCTGTTATCTGCTTCCCCTCCACACAACTGGGCAGGAGGCAGCTGCAAGGTCTTCCCTGCTGCAGCAGGTGGAGCAGCTGTCGCTGCAACAGGCAGCTGCTTGGGGCAGACTCCAACAGCTACAGCAGCAACAGCTCCCAACAACTGAGGCAGTTTCTCCCCCCATCTCTCCCATCCCGCCCCTCCCTCCTCGCCCCTCCCTCTCAACCCCGAGTCCTGAAGGATCCACACTTTCAGGTGGGAATGGCAAGGTCTTGATGACCCCTAATGTTAACAAAGCATTGTGTTGTCAGTATTATAAATACAACGGGACAATGAGAGGATGGCTGTGGTGATGAACCCTATTTAGAGCGGTAGTAGATTTATGATGGTTTCAGGGTAATGAGCTCAATTAAATGTTTAGCCAATATTAATGTCACAGTGTGGCAGAGTGGTTGGTTGTGTCAAAATTAGGAGTTGTAATAAGAGTGGAAGCATTACGCTGTATTCTAGCTCCTGATCATGTAATGATAATTGGGCCTAATACAATTTTTGTATGTCCGTATTCTCGACTCGGTGACATTGACAATCTGGTCATGTAAAGCTAAGCTCCAATACAGGAGGATGTGTTTCTCGGCATCATGATTTTGTTTTCAAAATCAGGGCAACTGCAGAGTATGTTAATAAGTGCATGTGGCGTGCTGATGAGCTCCACTATCACAGGCATTAAGGAAAGTGGCAGTCGGCTTTCAGCCATGTGATTATTAATGAGTGGGTCTGTGTTTATCAAAGTAAGTGTATTATACTCGTGAACCCCAATGACACCGAATATGCGAGGCGAGTGAGTGACCATCTGGCATACCATGCTGATGAACTCAAATAAAGATGAATTATGTATTTTCAGGATCCCAGCAAAGACTCCCACAGGTGTCCATGGAGCTGCCAGACTTAAGAAAACCCAGGACCCACACACAGTAAGGATGTCATTTAATGGAGTGTAAGAGCTGCCGATGAGCTCCAATAAGGGCTTTGCTAAGTTATCTGATTGGGTATCCTTATTATCATATTGTTCAACTGAAACCAAACGATTTCCAGTTCAAACCTTAATCAGGGTTAGACTCGGCTTAGGATTACCATCAAAATCATCTCTCCAAGGTTGATCAAATGAATAGCATCGTTTTTGTGGGAGAAGTCAACAACAGAGGTTACCATTCTGTAAATAGACTGGCCACCACCTTGATAATGTGGAATTTCCCCCAGCGGCTTGGGGTCATCGATGAAGATGAGTGGTCCGTCATTCGTTTGAGCAGGATGACACTGACTTTAACTGCCCTGTGTAGTGTAAACACAGTTGTCACATATAGGGTGGCAATGATTATACCCACTTATAATCCACAATGACACGGTTTGTGTGTGTGTGTCATAAGAGTACGTGTTTGTGTGCATTTTTGGGGATTGGCGATGCAGTGGTGTTTGCATTGTGCAATGATCCTGGTCACCTTGGTTCATCTCACAGCCATGGATTGCATCAATGGTACCACCACCTCTTTGAGCTTGTGGTTATTAATACGTGCTTACGAATCTTAAGTTTTTCTGGATTATGTAGTGGGCAGCAGACGGCAGTACATAACTCAATTCCTGTACTGCACTTATATGCTCCAATATCTGTACTCCCCACCTTCACCAACCGGCACTGACCAGCATGGTGAAGTATGATCACGTCATCCACATGACCTGCACGATGTGGGGAGGCCCTCATACTGCAATATATTGACACATTGGGCTGTTTATCCCAACTGTCCATACGGCTAAACATGTGATCTCTGTTTTTTGTCAGAGTGGACGTGGGAGCTGGTGTTATATCGGACACTGTATCTCATCGTGCCGATAACAAGGTATGACTCGTAATGTATCATATGACTGCTAACATGATTTCTCGTGTATCATATGACCATCCTCACATTAGTATTCGACTGGGTGTCAATGTGTCAGAACAAGGCGTGTAATGATTCATCACTTCCCGTAACTTTCAATGAGTTGTAACGATTCAGATTTGTAATGTGGCACAATCATCAACTATCTCATGTTTGTTATCTCATTTGTATTGTATGTCTTGTGTGTTCTGTCGTTTTTTCTCTGTTGATTACATTCACATTTCATATAATTTTCATTTGACAAATATGATCAGTACTATGATTTAATGCATGTATATTCTGTGAATAAATGTATTTTAATCAATGAAGCATTATATTAAGAGTAAGCAGACCCAGCTCAAAGTTGTAAAGTAGTGGGTCAGCATAGTCCATCATCATGATCATTAGATCATCTTCTGACATTGATCAATCTGAATAGCACCACCGGTGTCTCTATCCTATCCTATGAAGAGGCTTAATTCGCTTATAGGAATGTGAAATTTCCACCCCTCAGGCAGGGCTGCTAATGTTGACTAGCACTGCCCCATGCTCATTGGAGCAGGGCAAATATTTGACTTTGATCATGGGGATCTTGCTCGTATTGGTGGCAATGATAATGTTTTAGAAATGTTACCCTTTTCCAGGATGGAGGTGGTTGGTTTGCGCTATCTCACGCTGTGGTCTGAAGTGATGCTGGGAGGTCAACATCGTCATTACTATCCTGATCGTCAATAGAAGCAGCAGCAACGATCTCTTCGACTAAAAATACCAACATCACTATTACTAATATCGTCATCATAATTACTATCATCAATAACATAAACATTATCGTTGTCAACATCAACATCTGAATAATCACAACATAAACATGAATTTACATAATGAACGTCACTACCATTATCAAAACCATAATCAATTACATTATTTGCATCACCTTCGTCAGCCTCCACATAATTTTCACCAGCGGCAACTCTACAACAATCGCCACAGCCCCGTCTACAAAACCACCCCATCACGAAGTTCCATCGTCACTCACGTCTATGTGTTGCACTCGCCGATTTTAACGATGTTTTTTTTTGTCGTCAGTGTACTTATTCATATTCTTCTGGTCTTTCGGTAAAGCCACGTAGATAGAAAAAAATATAAAAAATATCACGTTTCGATCACAACACAAGCAACCAAAATCGTTAACTCCAGCCCCTATCTACGTGCCCAACCCTAAACCATATTTTAATTACCATTATTTTAAAAAATGTATGTAACGTTTCTTTTTAATAATGATTTTGTTATACAGGCATGTTATGCAAGTCACAACAACATGTATTCTTAAATAATATTTTTAAAGTGATCTAAATCCAACAATAAACGGTTATAGTATTGTAATACACCTCTCTTGTGTTAGTGTATTGTGTTTGAAGTGTAATTTTCAAGGGTTGAGGTGACGGTCAAGGCCCCTCTTAGCTCGCGGGCCCAGCCGGCTTTCTTCGGTAGGGAAACCAGGCGAGGCCCGTGGTCTCGCGGGATCCCGTGTCAGGGTAGGCCTCGGGTAACCGAGCACGTAATTCATGTTGAAAACATTACTCGCGGCCTTCATACATTTAACAGGGTCGTTAATAATCTAAATCGGTTTAATGATGCAACCCTAAAGTATAGGGTTTTATGAGCTCTACTGTAACAAGCCACCGTCGAACTACAGTAGGCGACACGTGTAACGTTACTGTAATGCGGTTTACATTATTTTTTTTTACTCCGAAACTTTAACGGACACTCAAATCTGCGGTTAAAACAGGAGCGAGTGCTGTGTGTGTGTGTGTTGGCAAGGGCCAAATGTTCTCGTGGGTTCCTTGTTTTGGCTGCTGTGTTTACTCCCGTCGCCCCTGGCAACGTGGTTGACACGTGTGCCCTTACAAGGACTTTCCGCCGGCTTTTCCGAGGAATTCCGTGGCCACCCCGACGTACGTCACGCCAGCGCGACCAATGGCGTGCACCGGGGGAAGCCCCCCTCCTCCCCTCCCCCCCTTTGTTTTGCACCGTGTTGTTGATGGTCGTCCAGGGTGACGGTGCCCCCGGGTGTCACGCTGGGACATTTGTAATGAGAAAGAAGGGGGGAAAAAAGGATTTTAAGCACTTAGCCAAACATTGTTCGGGGTAGCCTACGTTATTTTTAGTGTGGAATTCATACGCTTGAGTGTGTCAAGGCGGGGGTTTGCGCTGTCAGCTTGAGTTCCAATCGGGTGAAATATATTTATTTCATCCCAATGCGCCCATTTATAATTGTCTAATTTCAAGGGTTTCCCCTGCTTACACAACCAATCGGGTGGTTCTTGGTTCCATTTGTGCAACTTACACGTTCCCGCGACAGGGCCAAGTCTGGCTATAGAACGACCGCTGTTCACTATCCACAGACGGGTGCTTGCCATTGTATCGACTCCGGATAAATAATGTTGTTTGTGGAAATTACACATTCCCATGGCGTGGGTCAGTCTATTCATTGGACAACCACTACTTGACTTCAACAAAGTATTTCTTATGTATTCACCCCAGAGGCATGGAGATGGACTGCGTTAACCCCCCAAATGATGGCGAGTCGAGAGATTTGCCCGATCTCTGGGCTGATAATTAGATGTGTAAAAGTGATCAATCTATCAGGATTTATAATATAATATTCCGAACTAATGTCCATAACCTCTAACCCTAATACTAAGCTCTCATCTCATCGCAAACCCTATCCCTGGACTCTTATGTCCATGCTTTGCACCTTAAACCGTAACCCTATATGAAAACTAATTTTATTTTCGTCAGCTAAAATTTAAAGAATCAGCAATCGTAAAGGACTGATAAAAGTAATTCAGGAAAGAGCTGTGATTGGACGAAGCTCTTGTCTATGAGTGGATGAAAATCTGGGGGAGTAGTAGCCACTCCCATATAAATAGTGGGGGATGGGGGGGTATTGCACTGTTAGCCCGGCGTCCTATGCTTCTTTCCTGTCACGGCTAACATCAGTGGCGAGTGATACCTGAAGCAGTCCTGGGCCCACCCTGCAACAACACGCACGGAGCAATGCGGTGATGTATGGTCAAACAACCCGACGACATTCAGTGAAGGGAGGCCTCCTGTAAATTATTTTTAAAATTTTTGTATTAAATCGCATTCATGATAATCTCAATTCATTATCTGGACTCGGAGCCAGCGATGGTAATGCTACTTTTCTATGCCGGGAGCCAGTCTATTCACAAGCTGACTACTGTTGCAGCGATAACATGTTTGCTATAATTAGCAATTGAAAGTTATTTATTGCTCAAATGAACATTGAAGCGGTGATCAGCTCCTGTTTCAGCCCTGAGTCAGTGATGAATATTCCTCATTTCCCATGGTGGGGGAAATCTATCAATATGGCAAGCACTGTTGACTTCCCCACAAAGTGGTACTCAATGTATCGACACGGGAGGTATAATAGGGTGGGTTAACCACCAACCATCTTTACGATTGCGAGCCGCTCACTCTTCCACCTAGGGCGCCACGGTGGTGAGACGTTAACTGCCTCGCCTGGTATGTAGGAGGGTGTGGGTTCGCTCCCGACCCTGACGCCTGCTGTATATTTGGGGCTTGCAGCGTCTTTCTCCCCGTGGTCGTGTGGATTTTTATCTGAGTCCTCCGGTTTTACCTTCACATTTAGAAACATGTGTTTTAAAGCATTTGGCTGCTATAAATGTCCACGTGACAAGCCACTTCATTGAGCTATCATTTGTTGCCTGGTTGCTTCTGAAAAAAAAAGAGCTATATAGCAATTTTAAATAAGTTATAACATCGCTAACACGCCAGCATTTGTATTAAACGTTATGACTTCATTAATCGTGATAACAGCGTTAGTATTAAGTAGGTACAGTGTTTTAATAAACGAAGGGCTGTTACCGGATAAGATATGAGTCGTCGCTTGATATTAGCCACGACCGGGAATCCAACTAAGGTTGCCCGGCTTCCGCTGCAGTAGCGGTGATGCACGTGCGTTTGTGACGTCACAGTATTTACTTCCGTCTCCCCGGCAACGCCAAACAGCACCGCCCACGCGTGACGCGCGCTCAAGCCGCGTCGCCCTCGCGCGATGCCACAAACTCGAACAGACCACGCCCATTCGCGGATCGTCCACCAATCGAAGCGCCCCGCTGGTGCCTTCGACCACGCCCATTAACGACATCCGCCAATGGGAACTCGCGGGTGCTCTGCAAGCCACGCCCCCTGGGCTATAAAAGCGCCGCGCCCTGGTTTGGCGAGATTCATTCATTTAACGCCGGCGGCGAGAAGTCGGTCGTTTTGTTTAAACTTTAAAAGTGATTAATGACCCCCCCTAATGTGTTAAAAAACAAAAAATGGGGTTGGCGGAAGCTGCACTGCCGCCGATTTCCGTCTTCTCGCGAGCCCAGGGGAGCATGATGAGCATGGACTTTGAGGAGTGGAACGTGGCGGTAAGTTGCTGCTGTTGCATTTGAATGTATTTGCTGTGATTGCCGAGTTCCTATCGTGCTGCTTATTGTGGAGGCGTATAATGTGAATTCAGCCACCCTACGTGGATACAATTTCCATTGCTAATCTGGACTCGCTTGAAGAAACAAATTCGAGTCTCGTGTTTTTTCTAGCCCAGTTTGTATGTTTTTTCTGCTTGGTATGTAGGAGGGTGTTGGCTAAATGTAACAACGGGCAGCATATCTGCACATAACGTGCGTGCAATTATAAAACTTACACGTTCTGACACGTGCGTCTCGAGACGCGGCACGGTGAACATCACAAACTTGTGGTGTTTATTAGACATCGTTGCACACCGCTTGCAAACAAACGACAACATTTGTACCGTGCCACGTTGAATAAGATCAAACACATTTCGCTATTCTGTATTGCACTAAATATTTCTGCGCGTTGGTTTGATGCTCGTTGTCTAAGTGTTAACTCTTTGACTCGTTCACTTTGAGGGTTTGTGGTTAAAGTAGTGAGTCGTGACGCGCTGCCACGGAAGTTTGAACACGTGCGGCGGTGCACGTGTCGTCAGTCCACGTGTCGTACTGTCACAGAAAAGTTCTAAACTGGCTTGTGATCAATACCCTGTACTTGGCAAACGAGAGGGCACGTTTAGTTTAGAATTTTCCATCGCATTGATGTGTGTCGACAGTTGACCATGTGCGGCATATTGCCATACAACAGCGGCGTGTCTCAACTGCACACAAGCGCACTGTCCCATCTTGATTGACAGCCCTTTGTCAATTCTAGATTTGAAGCTTTCGTGACTGCAAGGATTCATACTACTCTTAGGTTTTTTCGGTAAAGTCACGTAGGTAAAAATAAATAATAAAAATACTAGAAAAAATATTTTTATTATTATATTTATATTATTTATATTATTAAATAATAAAACTACTATTTTTTATTTCTATTAATTTTATTTTTATTTTTACCTCTTAGGTTTCTTCGGTAAAGTCACGTAGGTAAAAAATATAAATTATATTTCTATTATTATTTCTATTATGTTTATTATTTTATTTTTTTACCTACGTGACTTTACCGAAAAGACCTAAGAGTATGAGCCCTTTGTGAATCTCCTGCTAGATTCAAGGGACCCTCCACACGACCTCTTTGCTGTTGGTCGTGGGGGGCTCGTTTGACCATACTTGACCACTCATCCTTGCGACTTTTGGAGGCGGCGGGGGGGGTACAATACAACCATGGGGTTCTCTGCTCTACAGTATTAAGCTAAGAGGCAGACAGCTGTTGTAGGTGTTACCCGTTCAGTACAGACCTGTCTCTTCTTGCAACGAGTTTGCCGATCCCCCTTCATACACCCCACGACGAACAATCGACAACGCAGGTTGGGGGGGGGGGGTGCTCTCGTGGTCGTGTGAACTAATTGACTAACATTTCAACGGTACAAGTGCAGTACTTGAAGAGACACGTTTCAACTATTTCGGCCTGTAAGAGAGAATATTTATAACGCGCGAGTGGGTGTTGAGCTTGCGTTGCGAACTGCGTCGCGCAGTCGAGGGTGTGTATATTGTTGTACTTTGTCACGTCGATTCTCAAGGGGGTTGATTCCAGCACGCATCGATTATCTCGCACAAGAATCGATTTTGCGTTATTGTGCAGTACGCAAATGCCATTGCGTTTATGGTAATCTAGCGACGATATCGCAAACTAAAACAACAACAACAACAATAACAAACAGCGAGTGAGAACATTTCGACAAGACAAACGAGACGGTGGAAACGAGATGGAAATTGGAATCGATTCTAGTTGGTGGTGTCCTCGATAATGGAATCGCCGGGGTGGGAGTCCCCGCCCCTCCCTCGCCCCTCCCCCGCCCCTCCCCCCTACCCCGCCCCTCCCTCCTACCCCCCCGCCCCTCCCCCCCCACCCCGCCCCTCCCCCCCACCTCGCCCCTCCCCCATACCCCCCGCCTCTCACCCCTACCCCCCGCCCCCCTCTCTCTACCCCATGGCTGAGACTATGTTGCAGTATTATACCGGCGGTGGGTTTGGAACATAATTTTATCGAGCGATTACAATTTTTTTTTTTAACGACACGTCTAAGATATGCCCCTGCGTTCCCATGTACCGATATTGCGTGTCAATTTCACAAGTTGCACTTGTTTTGAGTTGCTTTTAAAGTGGCAGGAAGAAGGGGAAAAACATGCCTTGAACCCCACCCCGGCTCATTGACATGGAGCCAGGCCAAGTGCCGTGACTCCGCATCTCTCACATCTCGTGTTGGTGTCTACAACATCTCTTGTAGGTGTCTATAACGTCCCCGAAACGTCTAATTTCCCACCGAATCCTCAAGTCGCCCACATTCTCTCCCGCATTGTACAGTGGTTGTGGTACCCGCCCATGTCGCAACATGGGATATTAATTTCAAAGTGTCCATAATAGCAAATTTTGTTCTTGTTTAATAACTCGTGATTTAAACCCACTCAAAGTTAATATCAATGTAATGTCAAATACAGGTCGTTCGCTGTCAATCCACCGCTGGATTTAGTTATTTCCCGATGCCGGTCTAGGTCATGGATGATGTGGGTTATTTGGCCATATTTCACCACGCCGGTCATTGTGGGCTGGTGAAAGTTAGATGTTGGTGGTGGTGGGGGGCTGCAGAATCAGAACATTGTTCACTCGCCACTGATGGTGGCTGTAGCTGGCGATCCAACCCAGCCAGGTAGGTTAGTCAGGTAGGTTCACCGGGTTCATATCCGCAAGCACTTTAACCAATGCGTCACCGCCTCCTCCGCCGCCCTCGATATCCGTGATGCGCATTTAACACATCAAACGGATACTTTCATTCTATTTTTTGCGCATGTTGGCAGTGTTGAGCGTTTCATGTCATTGTCGAGGTCTGCTAGCCACGACGAGAGGGGGCTTAAGGAGAGGGTTGGTGTCATTTTGCTCTTTCCTCCGTCGAAGGAGCCGCAGACTGCAGTTGTTTAAGTTATGGCCCATAGTTTGGGTTGCATGTCCACAATCGCACTGTGTACTGTGGCTTGTCTTTGGGTTTCCATTCGTGAAGGAGATTTGCTTAACAGCCTCTTGATGTTCCGATGGGGTCGATGGTTACACCGGTGTCTTCGAAGAATATCAAAGCGAAGGAGGTGCGATGTTTGGGGTCTCGTTCAGTTCCGGAATCTGGGTGAGATCCGGATACTTGACTGGATTCCGCAAAAAAGGTTTCTACTTAATTTCAGAAACAAGTTTGGCGTGATTTGTCTAGGACCCCACTGGATTCGTGGAGTTTAATGGAGCAACAGCTCCACCTACTTTTCGAAGTTAAATTAGTTTGTGAAAGTCGGTCAATAATCTTAAAACTGTTTCAAATAAATGAGGGGAAAAAGGCAGGACACTGCTCCGAGCGAAAGCCATCCCCACTTCTGCAAAACGACTTGAATATCGCAGAAATAAAATCCATCGTTATCTTACCATTTCCTTATTAACAGCTCGCAGTTCAGCAGCGTCGGTTCGAACAAGCCTGGCTGCTGATGAGACACTAAATGTTGTAATCAGTCCAGGGTTTTTAGCTGTGTTGAACCATTGCTGCTGAAATTATGCACTTCCAGCATGTGATGTGGCTGATGTGATGTGTAAAAAGTACTTTTATATTTTTTTATGTGGGGGGAACAGGTACGTAAAGGTGGCATATTGTAAAATTAGTTTTTTTTACTATTTACCGTTCAACTACGAGAGAATTAACTCTAGGATGGTTTATTTCGACTACAATTTTTGATTATACCAATGCTGTAACAGTGATATAGTTAACCATACATATTTCAATTGAATACTATTCATTAGAAAAGTTTTAAAATATAAATTTTATCTGTCAGCACGGTGTATATTAGTGTGCAACTACGTGCCCCTTTTATTTGATATGCAAAAGGACTGTTGCCAGAATCGTTGCCCATTAAATATTCTTCCTTTTAAGGTAGTGTTATTGACAAATGTGCGTTATTCACAGTGATAAGATAATATAATGTTAACCCTCCTGATGAAGTTGATGGTTCGAGACTGGTAAAGATCTGGCCAGTGGTTTATTCCCTCCCACTGTCGGCTCAGAGCTGGATCTTCTGGCCTTTTAGTTTAAAAGCATGTGGAGCATGCGAGATAATTAATTGCAGGATATTGTAAGAAAACTGCAATTTCGAAATACAATGTTAAGGGAAAGCGCAGTAGGATGCAATCATGAACAGGTGGTTGTGATGGTTGATATTTGTTGGATGTGTCAACCGTCACAAGGGAAAGACGAAACCAGAATTTAGTGGTGATGAGAGTGTAATAGTTGTCCCTTAAAGCCACTTGTCAACTGTGCTATAGCGATGCCGAGGCATGATGGTATTAATGTCATTGGTCTCGGGAGGGAAGGTGGAGGTGGTAAAGGGTCGGTTGCCGAAGACAGGCATTGGATTTGTCTCAACGAATCCGGCGACCGAGGGTGAAGACCTAATACCACACGGTGGGGTACTGTTAGGGCAGATCCTGGAGGTCGCATGTCTACTGTGCAGCAGCAATGGGATCTGGCAAAAGGTAAAAACCATTGATGAGGTGTGGCAGCACCAATGGCTTTGGCCATGGTGGCACCTTAAACTTGACCCGATGTCCTCCTGACCTTAATAACGATGTTAATGATTCTGTATCTTTCCCCAGGTTCCCACCTTTGATCTCTCTGATGATGACCTACTGGACTTCCTCCTCACTGCTCCCTCGACCTCGGGATCCCTGTCCCACCTTCTGGGTCCCACGGTGGAGGAGCAGATGGGCTTTACGGTGGAGGAGCAGATGGGCCCCTTGGCAGAACAAGGATTCTACATGAGCAACAGCTCGGAGCTTGACACTTCGGTGCTTTATAGTACGTGCAGCTTGGCTGTAGGCTTTGATACAGGGACTCTGATGAATGCTGGAAATGAGCCGTTGACCTCCACGGCAGAATTAATGGACGACTCCAGGAGAGAAGCAATGGTTGTCTCCACAGCAGAAGTTCCATACGTCCCCAGGACGGCGCTACTAGAGGTCTCCACCATGAATGAATCATTGTTCCCCAGAACGGAGCAGCCATTCGTCTCCACAGTGGAGCATCTTCTGGGACCCAGGATGGAGCAACCAATGGTGCCCAGGATGGAACAACAACTGGTCTCTGGAACAGAACTATCATTTGTCCCGAGGGCAGAGCAACCACTGGTCCCCGTTGTTGAGCAAAAAGTGCTCCCCAGGATGGAGAAACCTTTAGTTCCTATGGCAGAGCTACTAGAGGTTCCCACAATGGATCTGCCATCAGTTCCCGGCAAAGATCCTGCCAGCTCGGCCCAGCACCGCGAGGGAGCAATACCATCGCCTCAACAGCCAACCATTACTGCGGCAACCGGCGGAAACACCTTTACAAAAGCTTCCGGTGAGTGTTGCTATAATTGGTTGTGTATATCAGGGTCGTGCAGTTTGGGTATAATGGGATTTGATCATGTGGTTTGAAGAAGCTGTGATGCTTATGCTATTGTTTAAGAGGATAAATGCTGTGTATGATGCTGCTTATGGTGTTGCTGTTGATGATGATTTTGAAGATACTGCTGTGTTTATGGTGACTGATGCTGCAGCTATTTAAGTCTGCTATATCTGTTGCGTATAGCGATAATGCTGCTGATGATCAATGAGTCGGTTTATTTCAGGTCAGGCCCACTGATTGAATACGTTCTTTTTCAGTGTTTAATGATGATTCTGCTGCTCGATGATGATGTTGCTCTGAGGATTGTTGCTGATGCTGGCCCTCGTGATGACAATGCATTAACTTACTACAGTCTCCTGGCCACCAGACAGCCGAGATTCTCACAAATCTACACGATGCACTGTGCCACAAACTATAACCAGATCTTCTTTGTAAATCTCTGCTCCAGCTGCTTTACATTCTTCATGCTCTGCAGAGTTAAAAAAGAGAGTCCAGAAATATACTTGTGACGTATTCGAATTCTGAAAAATAAATCCGATCTGCCAATCGGGACATGACCCTAATGTTGTTTAGTAACATTTTGATGCATGCCGGGTCAGTCTGATGATTCATTCTGAACGATTGTTCTTTAACTGGCGGTCACACCCCTCGTATTTTTTTGCACAAGTGTATGCATGCATATAACTGTGTGCGTTCTGCAAGCTTATAGGTAAGTGTGTGTGTCCTGTTACCTGTCCTAGAGAGTTCCACTTATAGTTTTATAGAGAGTATACGCTATATCTATGCATCTATTTCAGTCAACCCATGGCACTTGTGTCTGTCCAGTCGCCTCCTGTCCGTGAGCCTTCGACACTTCATGTGGCCTCAAAGTGCACTTAGCCTGGCACAAGTTGTATGGTGACGTCACTGTCACTTAGTGGAAAACGGCGGTTGTTGTAATTATGTACGAGGGTGTGTAATTTTGGTAAAAACGGAGTATTGTACTAAATGGAAAATTATTGTTATATTAATGTGCAATACGTTTTAACATATTTGGCCATTAGATGGCAGACCTCTCAACACAATCAAAGATGGTGGTGCCCTTGCATGCCTGCATATTAGAAGAACAGTGTCTTATTCAATTGTTTTTGTGCTGAGTGTATCAAATGAGTAAAATTTATTTAAGAGTGAAGCTGCTAGATTGTGACAACTATCAATCGTGGCAACATTTATAAGTAGGTGGAATAGCTGCAGTTTCAGCAGGGTCATCCATATCATCGTCCTGCACGCAGTGACGGAATTAATGGGAAAGCTTGTACAGAAAGTTCTGTAACATTCGGCACACAGCCTAGACCGAGCCGTTCAGACTCCAATCTGTGCTGACCTTAGAGAGAAGCTATGTGTTTAAAACGATGAGGCTATTAAGTGTTAAGGCAGTGGTGTCGTCGTCGCTTAAGGACTGACCTAAATATGTCTGCTGCTGGCTTTAGAAAGCTTATGGGGCCACTGGGACATTGGTGTTTTAGTAGAGGGTAACTGGAGAAACAGTTTGTACTGAGGTCTTCTAAAAAAATAACTTTAGTTTCTTTTTGGAATAACCTTGTGTGTAGTATATATAAAGCTCCCACTAAAGGCCCTTCTGCAAGTAGTGACAAGCAATGTATCGCAGGGCTGCACCTTTTCTGTGACTATTTATATTGTGTGTGTGCGCATAGACTGTGTGCATTTGTCGATGTCTATGTGAATCGTGTGTGTGTACTCGATATGTTTGATTGTATATATATACTGAATGATAATCAAATATCTATTTACAATCTGTCATTCCGCTAGTCCATGCGGGTTGATCCAAGGCCCAGGTTCAAATTAGATATAAACTTGCCAGTGAAGTTAGCTATGGCTGGATTGTATTTTGTCAATGGGAAAACTTTGTTGCTATAACTTAATTTGTTGTGTAGAGTACATAACAGTTTCTCCAACTTTATTTGCTGGTGTCATTTTCTGAGCCATCCATGCCGGACATCTGTGAATAAGAGCTTCGGAGCTCATCAGATTCCTCCGGTCTAAATAAAGATTCTAAAACCCATCAAACCCAGGTTGTCGGGTTCTTGGCGCAGTACGCAAAGCACTCCGCCGCAATTCATCATGTTCTGTATATTTGTTACATATGTCTATATGTACTTTATATATGTGTGTATGTGTGTACAGGTGTGCAAGGCGTGCGTGCGCGTGGCGGTGCACGCATCAGGAAGGCCTCGCATGCGTGCACACACCCGGGGTGTGGGAAGATTTACACCAAGAGCTCGCACCTCAAGGCGCACGTTCGCACACACACAGGTGAGCACTGTAGTGAACACTCACATGCAAGCGCATACACAAACATCTTCCATTTGCTACTAAGTAGTGTTGATGTCACTACAGCACTTGTGCCAGGCTAGGTGTACTTTGAGGCCACGTGAATTGTCGAAAGCCTCGCTGGCAGGTCACGGGATAGGCCCAGGAGTTTTGAGTCAACTGGCATGAGATGACTGGGTGTGCACCCTACCTACACATGCGTTAGAGAGCAATCGCAAGTTGAAGACATCATATTGACTAGCTATCATTACAGGTAAGTGGGCTTGGGCAGGACATTTTGCGAGAAGGAATGATGACGGAAGGTCAAAACTGCCAATGGGGTGGCAGCCAATAGAGGGAATGCAACCGAATGGACGCCCACTGCTAAAATGGAGAAATTGAATCGGCACGCATGTAGGAGTTGGACAGATTGGTTACACGATTGCTGATGGTGTGTGTACCTGTGCGTGTGCAGGAGAGAAGCCGTATGTGTGCCCATGGTCTCCATGCCCGTGGCGCTTCGCACGCTCGGATGAGCTCACGCGCCATGTCCGCAAGCACACCGGGGCGCGGCCCTTCTCCTGCCCAGACTGCGACCGGAGATTTTCTCGCTCCGACCACCTCACCCTGCATGCCAAGACCCACCTATGACTCTCACTTGTTTGCCAAGAGCCACCTATGACTCGCACCTGTACGCCAAGAGCCACCTATGACTCGCATCTGTGCACCAAGAGCCACCGATGACTCTCACCTGTACGCCAAGAGCCAGCTACGACTCCCCTGTATGCCAAGATTTACCCGTATTCACCTGTGACTCTCACTTTTTGGGTCAAGACTCAACTATGGCTTTCAACCTTTGTCAAGAATGACTTGTATGGTTAATACTCAGATGTACAAATCTGACTCCTCTGCTCAGTTAAAACTCACCTGTACATCAAGATGTAGCTGTCACTCATCTATATCATGTGACTGTCACCTCTATGCCAAGACTTGTCTGTCACTTACCTGTTACCTGTAGGTCAAAACCTACCTGTGACTCAAGACTTTCATGTCTATGAAGACCCTCTTGTCGCTCACCTGTATGATAAACTCACCAGTATACTGTTCTAAGACACACCTCTAACTCACCTGCATGGTCCATAGTTGCCTGTCAATCACCTGAGTTAGGAGGTAAAAATGAATGGGTCAATGAGGGTGAGGGCTGAGTTGGTGAGCAGTTGGTAGAATGAGTTACGAACTGGGTTGGTGCGCGATTGTTTGGGTGGACGAGTAGGTGAATGGGTGGGTGGCTAAAACTTTACTGTTCAAAACTGTAAAAAAATTGGTTAGTTTTGCATCCAAGACAAAAATATACCCAACGTTTAAGCAAAACGTTAACTTTGCCTAACGTGAGCCTCGCCCACTGTTATCACTGCCTTATAGCGTAAATATAAAGTTATACTTAGGTATGAAATACACTGATAATTAAGCTCGATGGGCTGTCATGATTAAATATATTACGTCAATATCAAGAGTTGAGAAATCTTAAGGAGCTCTCTCACCAGGTTAAATGAATTGTCGGTCACAAATTTTTTATGTCAGTGGGCTTTCACTGGGGTAAATAATGGAAAATGAAGTTATATTTATAGACATTGAAGTTATTTATAATTGATATTTTGGATGAGCAGGACTTTTCGGATACAGTATTTGATAAGCCGGACTTAGAATTTATACATTGCATTTAGCAATGATGATAAATAAGTCATACGCTATATCTAGAATATGTATATTACATATGGGAGACTTTGAATATTCATGGGTGTATGTGTTATTTCTACTATGTTGGATAAGGAGACCTTGAATTCATATAATGGTTAAAATTCGCTATGCGATCATATATTGGATAAGCGAAACTCTTAATTACTTAATATGTATACTGTGGATAAGCCGTGCTTTGAATGTATACATTTAATATCCTCTTGTTTTCGGTATATATTTGCAAGTTGTGAATATATGAGAGACTGGAAATAAAACTTTCTTTTCAGTAAGGTATTGCCCAAACATCTCGTTTCATCATACAAAGATCCCCCTACCACCTACATCTGCTGTGGAGGTAATTTTTGCTTGCAAGCGTCTCCTGAAGGTCAGAACGGCATATATTATTGTGGCCAGTACCACTCCCAACCGCCTTTGTCTTCCCCATCACTGATCTTTACATAATGCATCAGGTACTCCTTGAGGGCCGAGTCGACCTTAGGGAGGCCTAGGACCAGTTCAAATAATTATCACCACTGATGTTAGCCGCCGTGGCTGGGAATTGGAATTCAGGCCAATGGGTTTATAGCACAGTGCGCTAACCACAACGTTAATAAAAATCTGTAAACGACGATAAAAGCCCATCGTAAGAGAAAAATAATGCAGGCTGGAAAGAAATACAAGTACTGTATCAAACAACACACCAAAAGCGTGTACGAAAAGCACTTTGCCTCTGTGTGTTTTACAAAAACCTTCATATAAGTTCCTGAAAAGCGAATGTACTTTTGTCTAAGGTCAGTCGCTCACATTTGGTGCCTGCCAAATAAAAAAAATATCGCATAGAATGGGATGATGACTGAAGATAAGAGGATCACAATGCAGATATTTAGGTATTGCATCATGATGGCTTTTGCAGTATGCACAAAGGCCGAGTGCTTTTTAAATGTATTTGTGTGTTGTTTGAAACCACGATACTATGCACGCCTCCACACGACACGCAAATTATCCGTTGCAGAATCGGAATCTGTATTTATCCGGGAGGAATCTGATGAGCTATGAAGCACTGATAGGCGTTCAAAGTATACGAAAGTAAGCGAGTCACTAAAGATACATAATAAACAAAGTATATCAATACAAATTGCATAAGTACTATTGCCGGCTGCATCCTCGCTCCACCCTGGTCCTGTTCACTTTGAGTCATTCTGCAAGTGTGCAGTGACGAGTGGCGAGATGCAATCCGCCAATTATGAAATTGACTCCTGATTACTGTACTTGGAAAGTGAACTTTTCCGCAAGATAGAACGATGAATAAAACTTCGACATGAGTCAGGATTTTGGTGCATCTAACTCGGTAATTTTTTTTCTTTTTGGAAAAAAAAGCAACCGAGGAGGCGGATTACACATTAATTCACGTCGGAAGCTCGCCAATGATCCTAAACTAATCTCTAATATGATTTTGGACTACTTTTAGGATGTATATGCTTCCAAGACAATAAAAGACAGGCACATTATTTTAATTTGTGATTTTGATCAAAACCAGTCCAGATAATAAGTTAAGTTCTGCTTTGACTTGCATCGGATTTAAAATTGGCATGAAACAAATGAAAATAAAACAATTCACCAGGGAATGGTGAACCGGCAGCTGATTTTCATAAAAGAATTTAGCTTTGAATTCAAAAACAATTATTCCAGACTGTGGAGGAAGCCTTGACGGAGGGGGGACATCCGGCCTCTGTGTTTGAGGGGTAATCGTAATAATACTGTACCTAGAGCCGGTAAAGCTCACATTCGCACCCATTCCTTTTCCTACTCAACAACAGTTACGTACACAGCATTCTCAATGCAGTCTCACTGCAGCGGAGGCGGAGTGGAGGCGCAGTGGTTAGCGCGTTGCACTTTGAACTCCTGCCATCCGAGTTAAGAGTCACTGCCACGGCGAACATCAGGGGCCCACCTTCACCAATTACCCAGCGTGGTGAAGTATGGTGAAGCAAGCCCTCTTGAGCAACACGGCGAGGGAAACAAGAAGCCCTTATCCAGTAGTGGCTTGACATAGGGCCATAAATTAATTCACGTTACAGTCTATGAGCATCAGCGTGTAATTACAGGCAATCAGGAATGTTATTTAATCGTGAACCGAGATACAGGCTGTTTTATAATTGTATTTCAACGTTTGACTCAAACGCACCGAGTCAAGAGTATAGGTGGGCTCTGTTAAGCTAACGTATTTAATGTCCCAGTAATGTGGACATTAATGTGATTTCTTTTTAAAATGATGATCTCATTCATCTAGTTACATCAGTCACATCTAATGCGCACTGACGACGATGACTGGTACAAAATCCAAGAAGAATGTTCTAGAACGGCTAGAAAGGTAACATTCGGCACAAGTATAATCCAGTCTGTGCTTAAAATTTTTGTTTATGTGGCCCGCAAAATTACCGAGAGGCTGGTGTTAGCTCCTTATTAAATAGTTATGTAAATAATAATAGGGTTTTTTCCCTTTTTTTCTGGCAACAAAACTGAAACCTTTTTACAAGGATCCAAACAAAAAACATACTATGATAATATTATTATTATATTTTGGTACTGGCAAAGGAGGTTTTATGATGTAGATGCTCACCCCAAGCCCTCATTACTTTGATAGTGCATTGTCTTTTAGCCTTTTGGCGTCCTCTGGTCGAGCACCAATTGGGTCGAGGCTCAAAAGAAAGCCGTCCCTTGGTGTGGACCAATCAGTTTGAAGGACAATACATATATTATCATAGTATGTTTTTTGTTTGTATTTTGACTGCAAGTATTGTGGTTAATGCACACATGAATCCTTGTAAAAAGGTTTCAGTTTTGTTGCCAGAAAAAAGGGGGAAAACCCTATATTTTGGTACTGGAAAAAGAGGTCTTATGAAGTTATGTAAATGTCAGTGTTGTTAGTGTTATATAACTGCACACATTGTTGAAATAAAGGGGCACCCCATGCCAACGTTGGCGTGGGGGTTGTTATTGACGGCCTATGTCAGGGCACTGCTGTAAAATCCATTGTTGCGCTGACCTGTCATCCCCCCCCCCCCCCCATACGTATTTTATTACAGGGAAATTAGAGTTTTCAGGTCCACGACGTACAGCCGTTTCAATACGGGCTTTGTAGGATGAACGTTGAGATGTATAAGGGTACGGGGTGATCAATAAGGTCTGGATTGGTCTCTAATCAGGTAGGGCACTGAGAAGGGGTTGACAGGTATGAAGTGTAATCAGTGAACCCCACGACCCGCACAGAATCCCTGGGACAAGCCCTCATCCAGCAATAGATAATAAAAAAACATTCCACGTGTGACCCGTAAGCTGCAAAATAAACCCTCCGAGCAAGATCCCTTCTGAAACGTGAACAAACAAAAACTTTCAAGACTTTGATCCACATTTGTTTTGGGATGGAGCCACGTGATATTTTATTGTGCCACAATGTGTTCATCTTTCTCTTTAATGAAATTCGTCAGCACGTGGCCACGCTGTTTCAAACTGGTTGCAATGTCCAACTTGGGCACTTAGCAGCCGATTGTCACTGGCATACTCTTAGATTTTTTCGATAAAGTCACGTAGGTAAAAAATAAATAATAGAAATAATTATTATTTCTATTATTTTAATAGAAATAAAAATTATTTCTATTTTAATTATTTATTTTTCACCTACGTGACTTTACCGAAAAAACCTAAGAGTATGAATTCTTGCAGTCACGAAAGCTTCAAATCTAGAATTGTCACTGACATAGTTCGGACAAACCAAGTTGCGTGTAGAAGCCTGGCATGCCCGACTGCGGTACGAGGCGTAATGACGTCATCACGTCACAACGTTGCCACGCACAACACTCAATCGTTTGTTACGTCATTTTCAACGATTCATCGGCTGGGTGACGTCATCGCAGACTTACTGTGACGATGACGCCATCGCACATACGAAAAGTAGATTTTTTTTATTTTACCAAGGGCCCACTGAGCCACACAGCTATTTTGTTTGAGAAGCGACCTGGCCACAAATAATTAGCTCAACAAATTGACTTGTCATCACGGGAACATTTATAGCAGCCAAATACTTTAAACGCGTGACGTTGATTCTAAACGTGGAGTGGAAGAACCGGAAGACCCGGATCAAAACCCACGCGACTACGGTGACAGAGAGACGCCGCAAGCCCCAAATATACAGCAGCAAGCAGCTGTCAGGGTCGGGATCGAACCCACGGACCTCCCTCTGCACACACCAGAGGCGAGGCAGTTCACATCCTCGCCACGTGGCCGCTGGGCGTCGTCACCGCAACAAACTCTCGCGCACGTGGGAGGGGGAGCGATGACGTCATCGTCAAGTCAGAGCAATGACGTCCTCACCAAGTCGGAGCGATGGTGTCATTGCCAAGGCGGACTCGCTGTTTGACGTCACAAACCTTACAACTCACACCCCAGTCCCTTGCATGAGCATGACGTCATCGAGGTGTGTGTGTGTGTATATATAGGAAAGGCGTGGCCAGTTGGTTGACGTCAGAGCCAGGGCGGAGGGGGCGTGTCTTGTTGCGGGCAGGTCACGTGGATGGCGGGAGGCGCGTGGCTCGCGCTCGTGTGCGCGGCGTTCGCTGCTGCGCTGTGGCCAGGCAAGACTTAAGTTTATATTTAACAAAACATTTAAATCTGGGGGAATTTTTTTTTTAAACATTGCCGCGTTTTTAAAGTGTCGCGTAGTTTTGTGGAAATAATTTTAACTTTACCCCCGCCCCGTTGTAATGTTTTTTTTTTTTACAAAAGTACTGTCGATAAATTTGCCTCAAACGATGGTGATACGGTAACGTGCAATTAATAGTTGACAGCGGGCGGGGGATTAAAACAAAGTTTAAGTGAAATTATTGCACGAAGGCGTCTAAAACATGTTGGTGTGAACGTTAAGTTGTATTTGTGTAACGGTAAAATCGTCTGCTACTAAAGATAGACAATTTATATATTAAAAATGGTTAATTGCGCGCCTTTTAATTCAGCCCACTGCTCTAACGAGGAGTTAAGTTTATAATACGAAGTTAGAATCGCATTAAAAATACGCGTCGCTTTTAAATATTTTTTTTTTACCTGCGTTTCAAGAGTAATGCAGTTGCCGACTTTAGACTCGTAATGTTGAAAGATGTTCAGCGGGTAAACTTTTAAAAAATCAATTTAACCGCCTTCATGATGACGTTGAAAAGAAAGGTTTAATCGATAAGAGATTCGATTTTCTTCAGTCGATGGGTTATAGGCGGCTCGTCGTCGTCGTGGTTATTTGACCACTTCTCCACGGGAATATATCTTACCCCTTTCTAGGATTGGATTTTAGAGTGAAATGCTATGTTTTGGTTTTAATTAATTACAATTTTAACCAAGATTCGATTCGGTTTTACTGATAGCGCGCTCGGAACACCGTGACGATTTTTTGTTATTTTATATTTCACTTCTTTTGATGTACTGTAAATCTTGACTTAAAGCTGCAGGAATTAATATTCTTTGGGTCTTTCTGTAAAGTCACGGAGATGGATCAAAGAGTTTCTGGCTACCATCGTTCCTCCTGACCGACGATCCGCTTGTGTTGTGATCGAACCGTCGTAGTTTTCTGTTATTTTCTTTGAACCATCTCCGTGACTTTACCGAAAGACCCAAAGTAAAAAAAAAAAGTACCGTAAATATTTGCATCTTAACAGTGTCTTAGAGATACTGTCGTATCAGAACCATAACATCCGAATTATTACAACTCTTGGAATGTACTTGGTCAGTGCGGGTTTGTAAAGGTGGGGAAGCATGGGAGCATAGTTATGAATGTACAATACTACAGAGGGATATTTTTTGCTTTATTGTTGGCTGTAATCCCACTCATAACCTGATGTGAATGGTTTTCGGCTATCCAAGCACTGTCCAGGCGCAAACCTGCTCCGCTTCCGATGTCGAACCCATTCCCGACTGATTTGGTCCTGTGCTTTTAAAGTTAAACGGGGTGCTTAGTTGGCTTGGTTACTGCTCAGAAGTTAGGTGTGTTTGTGTTTACTGTTTAGTAATGATTATCCAATGATTTGTTGTGTTGCAGCGGTGATTGTGGTGGGTGACCGCCCTACCACGCCAACGCTACCCCCGAATACTCGGGCTACCTCGGCGCACCAACACACTTACGCACACACTACCATCATACAACAACACCATTCCCCACAAAACCCGAACTTTCAATTTACCCCTTCATCTAGATTTGCTAACACACACCAAAACACTAAACCAAACACGTACATTACCATAATAAGCCAACAACATAATACCGGACCAATTATGCCACACAATCCTAACACTCTCATGCGCAGCAACACAAAATCTACCATCACACCTCAACTCACTAATGCACAGAAACACACTAATCCAAACACACGTACTACTATTATACACCAACAACCGAACACACATCCTATTACACCACAACTTACTATCACACATGGTACTCTGGCACCCCTACAGCCTGAAACCCAGGATACCATCTCACATGCACACACTACCATCATACAACACCCTAACATACACCCTATTACCCCGCAACTCATGGATACACATGGCACTGTCACACCTCTGCACCCTAATACACAAACTACAATCTCAAATCAACACCTTAATTCTGACACAAACTCTACCATCACACCACAACTCACAAATATAGATGCCAATAGCTCCGACCAGCATCTGAACGAAACTACACATCAACATCCAAACACACAAACTGAAATCACAAACCAACACACTGGCACGCATACTGATATTACGCTCCATCACCCATCTGCAGTTTCCGTGACGACGGGTAGTGTGTCTATAACTCTCGATTTTTTCGCTTCCCCGGACGGATTACCTGTGCATTCCCATTCTCAACATTCCCAGCCAGATTCAAGGAATTCCCAGCCAGATTCAAGGGATTCCCAGCCAGATTCAAGGGATTCCCAGCCAGATTCAAGGGATTCCCAGCCAGATTCAAAGGATTCCCATCCAGATTCAAGGGATTCCCAGCCAGATTCAAGGGATTCCCAGCCAGATTCAAGGGATTCCCAGCCAGATTCAAGGGATTCCCAGCCAGATTCAAGGGATTCCCAGCCAGATTCAAAGGATTCCCAGCCAGTTTCAAGGGATTCCCAGCCAGATTCAAGGGATTCCCAGCCAGATTCAAGGGATTCCCAGCCAGATTCAAGGGATTCCCAGCCAGTTTCAAGGGATTCCCAGCCAGATTCAAAGGATTCCCAGCCAGATTCAAGGGATTCCCAGCCAGATTCAAGGGATTCCCAGCCAGATTCAAGGGATTCCCAGCCAGATTCAAGGGATTCCCAGCCAGATTCAAGGGATTCCCAGCCAGATTCAAGGGATTCCCAGCCAGGAGTCAGGGTTTCCTACCTCAATTTAAATTATTCCCAAACAGACCCATCAAATTCACAGCTTCATTTTGGAAAGATTGAGTCTGATTTAAGAAATTCCCAACAAAATGTCAATTATTCCCAGATGGATATCCCAAATTCACAACCACCTTTAGTACATTTCCATCCAGGCATATCAAATTCCCAACCAGAGTTGAAAAGTTCTCCACTCGAATCTTCAAATTCCCAACACGATTTGAGAAATTTCAAACCAGAATCATCGCATTCCCAATCAGATATCACAAATCCTCATCTGGGTTCTCCAAATTCTCGACCCCATGCAGCAACTTCTCAACCAGATTTTAGAAAAACAAATTCGCAACCAAGTGCAATAATTTCCAGTTTGGATGTCCCACATTCTCCACCGGCCTTGGGAGTTTCCTCCCCAGGTCTTGGGGTTTCGGAATCTTCCATCAAGAATTCTGAGTGGGACTTGCAGCCTTCCCGAGGGATTGGTGTCCAGTGGCTAATGGGCAATGGAAGATCGTGGGGGCCCAATGGGGAAGAGAGGGCCGCCATTGTGAATCCACACACACTGCCAACGGCTGGCATCAGCAGAGATATCCGTGAAGATGTTAATAGGGGACTCGGTGATATCAATAGAGACGTGAGTAGTGATAGCAGTGATGGAAATGGGAGTAGAAATATCAATAGACAAAGCACCAGTAATATCAGCGTGGGTAATAGTGGTAATAATGAAACCGATGGAGCCATCAATAGTGATATCAATAGAGGTAATATAAATAGAGAAGCCAGGAGACTGAGTGATAGCGCAAAACAAAATGGTAGTGAAAGCAATAGCGATAGTAATAGTGATAATGGTAGCAATAATAGCAGTAGCGACAGTGATAGTCACACTATCAGGAGCAGCACCAGTGGCAGCAGCAACAGTGATACCAGTATTTATAGCAGCAGCAGTGATGGCAATACAGGAAGCATCGCCAGCATCATCGGTAATAGTGGTAGTGATGGCGGCATCACCAGCATCAGCAGCATTATGAACAGTTATGGCGAACTTGGCATTGGCAGGATCAGCGATAGCACTGAGGAAGACAGCAGAAGTAGCATCCGTATTGGGAGCAGCGGCAATGATGGGAACAGTGAAGACAGCAGCGATAGCAGCACCAGTGATAGATTCCCCACCAGCATGAGTAATAGTAGCATCAGCAGCGATGGAATTCCCACCAGCACAAGTGATAGCATCAGCAGTGATAGCATTAGCGCAAGTGATAGCATTGTCACCAGCACCAGTGATATCAGTAGCACAAGTGATAGCATTAGCAGTGATAGCATTATTTCCAGCACCAGTGATAGCAGCAGTGGAGGTGGTAACAGTGGTGGATACAGCAGCAGTAGCTCTAGTGGTGGAGACACTGGCTACAGCAGCAGCGTTATTGACAGTGGAGATAGCAGCAGCAGAGAAAGCAGTGAAGAGAGCAGCAATAGCAGAGGCAGCAGCAGCTTAAACCATAAAGACGGCATTGGAGACACCACCACCAGTCGCTACAGCAGTGTGGACAGCAGCACCGTTGGCAAAAGCAGCAGTGGAGACGTGACCACAAGCTACAGCAGTGGGAACAGCGGCAGTGGCCGTGCATCCTGGACTCCAACCCAAACTTTCCTGCCATGGTGGGAGCCTCATCCTACTGTCGCCTTTGGTGAGTGCAGCCCCTGTGGGTTCATAATATACATATAAATTAATTAAGAATGCATATGTTGGTGTCATAACCAAGGTCTGGTGCATCATGCATTCGTAATTTCAATGTCAGTAGATAGAATTTGGCCATTTTAGACACTTGACCGCATGGGTTTCATGCCTAGGATCCAAGTGCTGTCTCATGGGTTCATAATGGCCTTGTTCAGTTCATGATTGGTGTCAGCTTCACAATACCATATCTGATGTATAATGACATTGTAATTCATGGCTATGCCAGATTTATAATAGCCCTGTAAGGTTCATAATGCCCATTTTCTGTTCAAACTGCCAGGTTGGTTTCATAGTGGCATTGTAGACATGGAGCCAAGATTGCTGTTCCTTGGTTTGAGCCTTGGTTGACAATAGCCATGTTTATAATGGACATGTCCACCTCACAGTGGCTGTCTTAGGCATTGAGCCAGCCCCAGTGAGTGCAGGGTTCAAGCCCTGGGTTGGGGTGTCTTGGCAAATTTAATTATATGGTCTTACTGTTACTTGCCAATCTTTGGTACTCTGGTTAGAGTAATGCATTGTTACTTTCCAAAATTGTGCTCCAACACAAGGACTTCAATTAAATATTACTTTCTCCAGATTGAATTTGACTTGTGCTGGTATGGGCATCTGTTGTCACGGGATGAAGAAAATGTAATTTGGAACTCATGATTAGCGGCATTACATCGTGCCAGGGAAGAATCCTGGAAGTTGCCCCAGACCCCATTTCAATTGCCTCTTATCCAAACCAGATGCACAGCAGGTTTTGAATGGCCCGCTCGTCATGTTCATCGCATGTGAAACCACTTTATATACTGGAACTTTTCCAATTTGTCGAAAACCAAATCTAACAAGATTTATAATTACCGAGAAGTCAAGAACGAAGGTGGTATGTACGTGACATGTGGACAGCTTGTTATTCTGCGACGTAATATCTAGGTTAAGAGGAAGGAAACGGCCATTATGAACCCAGTTTATGGGACAATGAGCCATATTCTTGGGTCTTTCGGTAAAGTCACGTGGATAGGTTCAACTTATCTACGCGACGAAAGCTTTAAGTCAAGATTGGACAGAGCCATTTTGACGGGACTTGCCATGCGAGACGCTGAAGATGGCGAACGATACCAAGCATCGAACATAGGCATCAACCGTCAGTTGTGAGGATGCCACTAGATGTATAGATATTAATAAAATAATAGATATACAAGTATGTTTCCCCACATACAAAGTAAACAACCTTTAGGTTCATGAGTTTGTGCCTTCGGGAACAATATTTTCCAGCAGTATTTGTTTAATCAGGCAAACTCTAAACCAGTTTTACTTCGGCTCATCACCAGAATGTGACCTGTTAAATGCTGCTGTGTTGTCGTCATTGGTGTCTGGGTCAAGACCATCAATTCGCTTCACTTGGGAATCCGGTTTATTCATTGGTGGCTGAAATAGGTATTTGAACCCAGGATCCCAAGTTGTGCCAGTAAAATGCTTATTAAATGGGTGATTATGAACCCATCCCCACAAACAGACACCCATCACAGGGCTTGAACTCGGAATTTCCATGTTACTGGCTTGGATACTCTTGACACACAACCCTGGTCACATCAGAGCAGAGAGGGAGGCTGGTGTTTTGCCCCAAGGAGTAAATTGCCTGAATGCTGTGCCTGTGTGTAAACTCTGAATGCGCCTTTGTGACATTAATTATATATTAAAACTACTGAAATGTAATATAATTTTTTACTTCTATTTCACCAGGTTTGACTGGTGATTTGTGTTCAGCTATTTTGGTGTGTGAGTGAATGTGGAAATGAGTGGATGGGCCAGTTAGTGGGCGAGTAGGTGGGTGAGAAAGGTGGTGAATGTGTTTCGCTGTTTGGCCGGTGGGTCCAGTGACTGGGGTGGGTGTGAAGTTGGGTGGGTGGGTGAAAAGCTGGTGAATGACTTGAGTTTGTGGGTGAGTGCAAATATGCATATTTCAGTATGTATGTTTGTATAAGTATGTGCATATGCGATTGTATAAGTGCGTGTTTATATGTTGGTATAAATTATATATTAATGCACCTCTTCCTGTCGTACCACAGACTCCCGTGTCTCCCATCGTATGCTCACCCCATCCAGCCCAGAGCCTCCAATCACCTCCAGTTCCTCCCAGCCTCCGTCAGTTGCCTCCAATCACTCTCAGCCACCTCCATTCACCACCCTGTCAAGTAACCTGATTGGCAATAGCAAAGCATCATTGAGAGGTAAGTCTAGGATGAACTCTTCTTTTCCCAAAATTATAACAGTCGAGCATTTGTACACACACACTTGTGATGACGGTTTGTTTTATGTGCCTCTCCGTTTTCTTTGACTGATGTTATGTTGGGGTCAGACCGGTAATTAGCCTGCCACAGACGACTGGAAGGTTTGACTAATCGCATCTTATGTGCAACTTCCTGTGGTTGGCCACCATTACCTTTACAATGGCAGTATACTGGGTAGGAACCTAAGAACCCCTGATGAAGACTGCATAGGTTGTGCAAACGACAGCCCGGCAGTCAAAACACAAGAGAAAAACAACTTCTGTTTGTGCTCGGCAGTAGCGTTTTGATATATACACGTGCACTTGTCTATATATAAGCAGCGCTATGTGTGTGTCACAGCATTTACTTGAGAAATTGTTGTCATGAATGGTCCAGTGAAAGATAATTTCGTTCATGAGAAACATATGGGATTGTGTTTGACCTATGTACAACCTTTGACCTAGGTTAAAACCCATCACCTGGTAATCGCAATTAGTGATGCACTGCCTGCTGGTTAAAATGTATTATTGTACTTCCTGTAAAAAATCATAGAGGGCAGAGGTCGCAAACGGGTTTTGATTCCTTACCCGTACCCGGCCGCACCAGGGTCGCAAATGGGTACCCTACCCGATACCCGGCTACCCGTACCCGGCCGGGTATCGGGTAGGGTACGGGTACGAGTACCCGATTGCGACCTCTGGGATGAAGCCATGTTGCAGGCGCGGGTGGGTTGATTCTAGGAACTTGAATTGTGAGAAGAGACAAGACGTTGGGAAATGAGTGACAAACGGTTACTCACCAGTGACTCACGGCCTACCCGTACCCGTACCCGGCCGCACCAGGGTCGCAAACGGGTACCCGTACCCGGCCGGGTACGGGTATCGGGTAGGGTACGGGTATCGGGTACCCGATTACGACCTCTGATGGAGGGTGGCCTGTAATAAAGACAGACATTTCATTTGTCAGTTATTGGTGAGTGGCTGTAGAGAGTTTGTGCAAGTGGTACGTGTCTGTCAGTGGTCAGTAACTGGTGATTGAGGAATTGTCTGGAATAAGCACGCTAATGCACTGTAATGACTATCTATGCAGTACTATAAAGCATCCAATACTATGGGTACGTACGGTGCTAAAGAAGTTAATGTATACATACATATACATGATCCACTTTATAGTATAACATTCATATACCGGTAGAATCACATACATGTCATACAACATGCATGCACTGGAGGTGCAATAATATCGGAGCCAACCCTGCGTTTGGTTGACTACGGCTGCAAAGTAAATGGCCGTGCTTTGAGATTTTGAGCCAGCACCACTGAGGAGCTGGGGTGGAGCCCTGTGTTTAATTCTAATGTTTGTATTGATGTGGTTTTGCTTGAGGCCGCATGGTGCCAGGTCCTCTGCTCGTGCTCCCTCTCTGCCTGCTCGTGGTGGTGGTGCTGGCTGTAGTGGTGGTGGTGGTCACGCGGCGTGGATTTTTCCAGCGACACCGCTACCATCGCTTCTTCCTCATTCCAAGAACAGCACGGAACCAGCAGCACAGAGAAGCGCAGGCAACAAGTGCAATACAAACTACAACACAACCACATGAACCATAACAAGCACACAACTGCTGTGATTTGTGCAGCCACAAATTACAGCACTAGAACAAACACATACATCACAATACTGACCACAAGCTTCAATCACAGATACCATACTAAAAACCAAAAGTACCACAACAACCATATAAACCACAACACAAAACACGGTCAGATTAAACACAAGTACTCCAACAACCGCTAAATATACAACAAAATATCGTTGCAAACGGCAACACTACAATCAGATCAACACAGATGACGACAATCATTGCCACAGCCAACACTATCAGTAACAATATAAGCCACACGTACATCAATCACCACAGCGTAAACCACAACTTGAACTAAACCATATTTTCTCAGCATGTAATTTGCATGATGGAAAATAGTTTAATATGCTGAGGGTGATGTGACTCACTAAAGTTTGGGAAACACTGAACTAACATTACAACCTCCATGAATACAATTGAAACCATCTCCACTACTACCACCATAAGCCTTGAAAACCCAACCACAAGACTCGCATCTACTGCTTCCAAAGCACCCTGAGAATGAGTTGACTGGGTGAGTGTGCATGAGGGATTGGGTGAGTAAATGCTTGGGTAAAAGTGAGTTTGTGAATGATTGGGTGGGTGAGTTGTAGACTCGGGGGTGATTTGTTGAGTGGGAGGGTAAGTAGTTGATTGGATGAGTGGTTCACTAGGTGGACGAGGTGAATTATGACTACATGGGCGTGTCTGGCTTAGGTGAATGGAGCGGACTAGGTGGGTAAGTAGATTGAGTAGTCTTCTTGGTTCTTTCGGTAAAGTCACGTAGAAGGGAAGTAATAAAATAATAAAAATAAAACATAATAAAATAATTCTCACGACGTTTCGGCCACAACGCAACACCTGAGGACGGCTGCTTGCGTCATGGCCGAAACGTCGTGAGAATTATTTTATTATATATTTTTTTTTATTATTTTATTACCTCCCTTCTACGTGACTTTACCGAAAGAACCAAGAAGATGAATCCCTGCAGTCACGAAAGCTTTAAATCGAAATTTAGATTGAGTAGGTGAGTGAGTGGTTGACGAAATGGATTGACTTGGTGTGTCAGTGGTTGACCGAGTGGTCAACTAATGAGTCATTTTGTTTCTCTGTTAGGACTCGTCCGTGGAGGATATCCCCTTTGTTCACCTGTCTCCGTCCACCACCGTCTAAACATAATTTCTGCCTTGAAGGCTAGCTGCATTCTCAACTCCTACACAGTGAGAGCCATCCTCACACACCAGACCAACAGCAAACAAATTAATGACAAAGTTGAGGGCCATATTTAGGCCGACTGTCTTAAATGAATATCTACACACCGACTTTGGTGTGCGAGGAGTTTGGAAGATAAGTTGACGAGTTATTTCAGGTTAATGTCTAATTTAAGTTTGAATTGTTTGTCTGAACGTTATTGAGAATGCTGAATAAATTAAGTGCATGATGTTGGGTGTTTTGGGTGAGTTTTTGTTCAATCTGGCATGAATATTCCTCATTGCATAGACAATTTAATTAAGAAAAAAAGTTAGTTTACATTTTCTAGTAATGTTAAATGTAATTGGCAAAATGACACTCGTAAACTCGAGGAATGGCATTTCATGTCAATATCGAGGGCCCATTTTGTCAATGTTGCTTGTAAGATAAGTGTAGATAAGACTTGAACTATTCTAAAACTATTTATTTTTAATCACAACAATAATAACTTTCAACATCACTGCCCAGAACCATCGTCACTACCATCAACTATTCCACATTCGCCACCATCACCACCAAACTATTTGATGCATGCATGACGAGCATAACGTGATTTTTATTTCTATTCATAACATACCCTCAAACAGTATTTAATGCTAATGTTCTTATAATTTGCTTTGTCTACATTTAACACATCTTATTTAATGTATTAATACATTTTACCTAATCAGTATTGGACGTGGATTTGTTAGCACCGAAATAGGCTCTGGTGGTAAGGGGGTAAATTAAATATGTAGCTTGCAATGCAGTGGGCTGTGGCCATTTGTATAAAGGGTCAACGCGGTGAAAATACTAAAGGTTATGGATAAGACATGACCTCTAACCCCTTATGGAACTTATGTAGAATGCTGATTTTGCAAACATGTCGCAAATTAATTCAGTATGCACCATTGTGCAGGAGGGGGAGAAGAATACTATGCAATGTTATACTGTTTTAACATTTGTATTTCCTGTAAACTACTGTGACTGTACATGCACAGCCTTTTGCCATTCCACTGATGGAATGAGGGCCTCCCCTAATGCTGTTTAGGTCATCGCAAATGTTTTGCCTTCACCATGCTTGTCAGTGCAGGTGAGTGAAGCCAAGAAACAGATATGGGATTTTGCTGCATTGCCATCTGCCTGCCATGTGATTCTGCAGCCTATAATACCCGTTATGAAATATTGGACTATACACTGCCGAATACACAACATTAATTCACGTCCGCAAAATTTAATACAGATGCATGTTTATTGATTCTTAAAACTTTACAATAGTCTTACAGCCTGCATTATCAGTTGGAATGTACAAGTAAATTAAACATTCTTCTGAGTTTCCAATCACCAACATCACCACATGATTTTCAAACACCGCTAATTTTTTATATATATAAAATAAAACTCATGGAAAATATCCCAAAAAACAGTTAAAGACATCTGGAAAATACTCAACACTACCCTATTTTTAAAATACATTCCATTCAAAAACCTAAGCCTGTATTTAAATTGCTGAGGCCTTGTTTAGGTTCTGTTTCTTGTCTCACCCTTTCAAGAGGTTCATAACGACCATGTCATATATACTTGGCCAGAACCACCAAGGTCCTGGGTGTAAAGTTGAGCCCAAGGTTACCTCTCAAGTTAATAATGGCCCAAGCGTCCGAGACGGCGAGCCACAGCTGACCTGTGTTTGAGCCCTGGTTCTGATTGTCTCCAAAGTGGTTCATAATGGCTGTCAAAAACAGCCAACACGTACAAGTACGAGTAATACAAATCCTGAAGCTTGTATAATATTTCATGAGCGATCATTTGATTGCCTGTAGCCTCTTTAGGATATCTAAAAAAAACATAAGGCATCTAGGATTTGCTGGTTTCTATTCGTTAAAGTTTATGCATTTGCATACAGTTTATACGTACATGAGTTTAGATGTTGATATGTTATTGTACTTGTGCATTAACTTGTAAAGGAATGTTTAAGTGCATAAATGCAACTGTGTAGTTAGCAGTGGTGGTCATGACACCGCTTCACAAACCTGAGTTTGATTCCTAGTGATAGCTAACAGTGAGTGACATAAAAACTGGTCGATTCAGCTTTAAATGACTACCTGATGTGTGTAAAGCCTCAGTATGGGGAGACGAATATGTATAAGTGTTAAATGTGTGTGCGTGTATGTTGCATGCAAGTGGAGATTCAGTAGTTGGATTTAAAACATCTTCAGATTAATGAGTCCTCAGTTGATAATCTGCAAGAAAAAAGATAAGTTTAAAAAAACTTTTTTTTTTAAACACGCTTTTATGAAATGTACTAGTAATGGAAGAACGCCACAACTCCAGGAAGTGGCCCCGAAGCTTGCCATAACGTTTCAGGTTTCATTTATTAGGTATAGCCATGCGGCTCTTAAGTCGGGTGCAACCTTAACAAACAATATGAACAGAACATCTTAAGGGACCGTGACCAATTACAGCCAACGTCAGTTGGCCGTGGACAATTGGACCCAAGCCGAAACATTACATATAAAATAGAATGTTTAAAAATATATATTTTTATGATAGAATATAGTATTGTCATCAGTATGGCATAAGTGTGTCAAGTTTGCAGTCGATACCACATTGGGAAGTGGGTTAAAATTGAGTGACAAGATTTGAGGATACAACAACAACAGACAGCGAGTTAAATGAAAGCGTGTAAAAATCCGTGTTAACAAGGATGATACTCTGGTTTTTTCGGTAAAGTCAGGTAGGTAAAAAAGAATGATGATACGGCTTATGATGGTGATCATCATCTCACCTCCGCTCTGCGTGATGTAACGCACCCAAGGCAGAGCCTGGTAACCACTCTTCTCAATGATCTTCAGATAACGAACCTGAGACATGGGGAAACACTGAGTGAGGGGGCGAGTCAGTGAGTAAATGAGAGTAGTTAAGGACTGGATCGGTGAAAGTGTGTGGGTGAGAGGAATTGAGTCAATGGGTGGGTTGAATGAGATGGTGCGTGAGTGAGTCACCTGAATTCCGGACACAGTGAAATAAGGAATCTCAAACTTGACGGTTACTGGAGGTCTCCCTTCCAGCTCCTCTGCCTCCACACTCGGCAAGCCAAAGTGAGCTCTTAACAAAAACTCCTTACCGCCCTGCCAGACAAGGGTAGAATAAGGTTAGATATGAGACGGGAAGAAGAAACATGGGGCCGGCAGGATACATGGGAAGAAATCTGAGGAAAGGCAGGAAGAAAAGTGCCAGAAGCGATAAACTTGGGACGATTATTAAGCGATGTGGATCTGAAGGGAGATGTAGGAAAAATATGCATGGAGTGAAAGGAATCAGCAGAATTGTAAGTTCAGTCGAAGACGTGGGGAGAAGTGGGAGGGGATATGGCCATACCGGGAATGACTTGATTGTCCACACAATGACACTTTCTTCAGGAACCCATTTGGCGCTTCCACTGCTGCTCTTGAACTTGGGCGAATCGGCATCGCTGGGAACCGGGATTCGAACCTCTACGTTGTTTGCCGTGGAACGATGCTTGAATTGGCTTTTGGCCTAAAAGGAAAATGCAACGCACACCGATAGACACGTATCCTGTTTCGCCTCAGACTGTTGGGCAAGTGCTGTTCATTATCCCATATGAAGGCTGGCACAAGAGGGGGTGGGGGTAGCTAGCACCATGCCCAGTTGCCTTTGTCTCCCAAGTGAAGGTGTTTACACCTCTCCAGGTACTCTTGAGGCTGAGTAAACCTTGGGGAGGTGCAGAACTGGTTCACGCGTGACGTCACTATACGGGGGAGCGTCACTACCACGCAGGTCCACACACTACGTCATCACGTCTGGATGTGGGAATGATGTCACGGCTGGTCGGGGGATCTGAAGGCCGTGGGTCAGTGCCGCAGGGGTTGTGTGAGGCCGTGGCAGTGGGTGAACCCGGCTGGACACGTGACCGGATCAAGGTGGGGGCCGGGGGCACCTTGGAGGCCACGCAGACAGGAGAGGAGCCTTCTCGAGAGTTCTCGAAAGGTGGGCGTGGCCGGGGTGTGGCCCAGACACGCCGAGGCGCATATAAGCGGCCTCCGCACCGGGGTTCGAGGCTGCTCGTGTCCGGGCTGAAGATGCCTCGTGAAGAAGAGTCAGGCTTTAAGTAAGCTTGGCCAACCCGTAGTTTTTTTGGTTTTGCCACGCTAGTCGTATCAGTCAGTGTTAGCGAGTGATGGTGTGTGTTAGCGATGAAAGGTTGGTGGGTCGCCACCCGATGTTAAGAGTTGCCGTTGTGTTAAATAGTGTTGCCTCCCAAGAAGTTGTGTGTGTGCGCCTACTTTGAACCCATTACATTATCATCACTGGTGTTGGTCGTGAACAGAAATCGAACTTGCGTTGCCAGGTTCAAACCACTGGGCAAACTGCTATACTACCATTCCCCACATATGCACACACAAGCCAGCAACATTTTAATTTCTGGGTCTGTTTCAGGGGGTTCATTATGGCATGTCAGAAATGCTAAACCGGTACCCTTGATGCCCAGGGTTTGAGGCCTGGATTTTAATAAACTCCTTTCAAACGTTTTTTAAAAACGGATTTATTTTAAAGTGCACTAAAAGGGAAATAACTCGATTGGACAACGGGAAGTGGACGACACCTTGATTACAAGAGACACACCAGCCTGCTTTTTGTGTGAGCCAATTCCACAGTTTAGGGACCGTGGCGTTTTTCACCTACACAAAATATATAATGAATATGCCGTCCATGATTTTTTTTATTGCTTGAAAGGGGGCAATTAATTTATTATTTGTTGCCGATTTTAATACAGGCATGCATTGTCACCGGATCTGAGTACGTGTGCAGAATTAGGGATTGATTGGACAACAGGAAGTGGACGAAATGTAGATTACAAGATGTCACCACGACACAGGAGTCAAGTAAAACCGTTGAAAACAAAGGCCAATTATAGTCATACCTCGGTATATGACCGCTTTGGAATACGTCGAATTTGGTATACGTCGTGTTTTAACGATAATTTTTTATTGGGATACGACGTCTTGCTTGGGATACAACGTACTTGCTAGAACTTGTATGGGTTGGGATGAGTCACCGCGTACGCACGTATACCCCCGTTCACGACTCCCCTTCCTCAGCACTATCCTCGTAGACTATCAACTCCTCTCAACAAGGTAAAGTGATGTTACAATTTATTTCAATTTTTATTTATGCATTTATTTTAATTTATGTATGCATTTTAGTAATAAGTAGTGTCTAAATTATTTTATACAACCCCATTAATGTATAACATGCCATATAAAATATAATTTCTTATACTCTGGAATGGATTATTTCCTTTCCCTTTATTTTTTATGGAAAACTTTGTTTGGTATACGTCATTTTCGGTATAAGTCCTACCTTCTGGAACAAATTAACGACGTATACAGAGGTACCACTGTACAGATTAAGTTTATCTTAAATTTCACCTGATTTGGCAAATGACAACTCGAAGTATTATTTTCAGTGGGATCTTACCTTATTAAATACGCATAATAAGAGAATGGTGCTTAATGGTTTCTCACATGATTAATCTATTCCGGGGACTAGACTCAATAACCTTCTGGAATCTCGATGGACTCGCTTCCAATTTTAATCAGAGAAGGAAGCCTATTGAGATTTATAAAAATCATTGATCAAATGACAATGAACCTCAATAGGCTCTCAAATGGGTAAATAAATTGTCAGTTACAACCAAATGGATTTCAATGGGCTCTCCTGATGAAGTCATCATAGATCTCGGTGGGCTCTCAAACGGTTAAATAATGGTAGATGCTCAATTTCTCACCTTGACCATGATCTCCACTCTGCTGTGAGAAAACTTTTCAATGACCGATTCGATCCAAATTAAGGGCTTCACCTGTGAACACAAAACAAAGATCCCCCGTATAGCCTTAACAGACTGTTGGGGCAAGTGCTGTTAGCGACCACCATCCACGAGGGGGTGGGTGGCCAGCACCACGCCCGACCGCCTTTGTCTCCCCAGTGGCGATGCTTGCACATCGCACCAGGTACTCATTTGAGGCCGAGTTGACCTAGGGGAGGCCCAGGACCGGTTCAGATAATCGGCACTGGTGTTCGCCATGAACGGAAATCGAACCCGGGCCGCCAGGGTGCATAGCGCAGCGCGCTAACCGCTACACTATCGCTCCCCAAACCTGAACAAACACGTGTACACACACAATTGATAGACATTTGTATGCACGTAAACGTGTACGCACATGAGCATGTAAACACCACAAGTGTATACACATGCACACGTGCATATAATTTACAAATACATCCGGCCCTTTCAAACTTTAATAAACTTGATTAACATGGCTCAATCCACAACCCCGTGGCACTAGCCACATGAAAAATACTCATTTGCATGCATTGCACTTAGGGTCGGTTTGAGAAAATTTGCTATATCCAGAAAAATGTACCCATTCCCTCCTCTTCATGTGTTCTGTACAACTAAGCCAATTGCGACAGTGATGACATTTCCAGGCCAATGACTACGATCCCTATGCCGTAAATGAAATGTCTCACTTGTGGGATATGTTGCTGCTGCGCCCAAACTTGTGATAAGTCTAAAATTAACCAAAGCATGGACTAGTCGGCAGAGATGCACAAATCCCAATGTAAAAAAATAATCACGTTTGCCATTATGAATACGCATTGTTTTACACTGCCTTACAACAAAGGTACAGTTTACCAGGCTGATATTTCAGGAAATGGCCCTTAAAGAGCACCGAGTAAAAAGACTGACTGCCTGATAGTTGATGGCAATAAACACTGTCGAAATTTTATACTTTATAATATGTATATTCGTAACCAATGCAGTTTTAAATTGACAGTTTTTCTTCATTCAAGCTAAGAACAAATACTGTAAATGTAAACATTCTGAATGCCTTCCACTTGAGAAAGTGCAACGACTGAAAGCTTACGTAACTGCAGGAAATACCGGTTTTGAGCACACCTCGTAAAATTCCAATGATCTACAGCTGATGACGTGACACAAACGAATTTTAACTCAAGACCTTGAAACCTATACCCACCGATTAGTGGCTTCCTCTAATGCGGTTATACAATCACAAGAAAGTATGTTAGTTTAAATCAGTTCATACATTCTTATGGGTTTGTTCATTATAATCATTGTTTACTTAGAGAAACCTGCTTATGTCAAATTAAAACTTCACGTCAACTTTGTCAGTGTAAAGTCTCAAATCAATATTTCTACCCTCCCTCTCTGCTCTTCAAGAAGAGCCATTTCCCAAAAATATCAGCCTATATTTTACTGTTATAAGGTAGCATTGATGACAATTGTAATGAGTTCTTAGAGATTTTCTTGAATACTATACACACACATCCCAATACCCGCCATTCACCACTAAGTGAAAGTGACGTCACCACAGCACCTGTGCCAGCAGGGTGCACTTTGAGGCCACGAAGTAGACAGGTCTCGAGACAGACCCGGGTGCCATGGGTTCGCTGAGATAACTGGTGGTAGATGCACCGCCATCTGTACCCCCCCTACAAGTGCCAACTTGCTGCATTTTAGGCGCTCCACTCGTTGTGAGTGTGGCTCCTCTGCCCTCTGTTGTTGCTGGAGGGCGATGTGCCTCCAACTGTTCAGTAGCGTCCTTCATGAGCCTCCTCCATCTAGACTGATCTTGACACCGCTGGTACTAGTCGTCGGCAAGTCAAATCAGCTACACATCCTCCTGTACCGCATCAATCCATCTCTTCTCCAGCCCATGTCGTGCCCGTTTAGTCCTCTCTATTCGGCCAAACAGAAGCTGCTTGGGCATGCGGTGGCTGGGTATGCGGGCTACATAACCCAGCTAACGCAGCCTTGCCTGCCACAGGAGCTCACTGATGAGAATGTGTCCAGCCTACACATACCTACACACACATTTTCCTCGCCGCACCTGCCTTTGCAGTGTCTCATGGCCTTTGTGCGTGTCACCATGTCCTCATGTATCCCAATATTACTGCATACACATGCCCCTGTCTCATACACACCTTCCCATGTTCCTGTATCTCCATGCTTGTGTGTCCCTGTGACTTACGTGTGTGTACAGACGGTAGCTCATGAGCTCAAACTCCCCATCTGGGGGGATGAATGAGATGGTTCGATCGTTGTCGAAGCGAGAGAGGCGCACACACTGATGGAACTTCACATCCTCCAGCTCCACTCCCTTACTCTTGTCTCCTGGGAGATACATGGACACAGAGACATATGGAAGTGCCTATAAAATAAAAGGGGAATGGAGACACCGAGAGACAAAAGGAGACAAAGGGAGAACAAATACTTGAAGTAGTGAAGAGACATGGGGTGAAGGAAGACCTGAGAAGAGACATGGAGAAAAGGAGAATTGGAGGAAAGACTGAACATTGTTTGTGATGGTGCTGCTATTGATTATTATATGTCAAGGATGACCAAAATGATAATGATCTCTTCACTTACGTCCCGTCTGCTCAAACAGGACCTTGTCATTCAATCCGAGTCTCAACTCCGGCATTCCGGAGAGAATGACCCTCATCTTCACTGTCCCCACAATCTCACTCCGCAGCACCGAGCCTGTTGCGCTCACCTGTAAATACAAACACGCAGCTGCATCACCATCTTCAAAAGCATCACTACCATAATAACCATGAATAATCCCACCACTTACTACAACCACCACAAACACTTGCACCACACCATCACTACTACTACCAACACCAGAAATAATTTCACCACCACTAAACCCGAACACCACCACTGCCACAATACCTAAAATAATTTCCACCACACCATCACTGCCATCATCACCACTCCTCTCTCACCAGGAGGTTGACGGACTCGATGACATCCATGAAAACCTCGTTCTTGCGGTACTTGATACCTTCGGAGCGCCACGACACCGCATTGGTTACGGTTGCTGGGGGGCGAGGTGCCCCCACCTCCAGCTTGTGCCCCTCCTGGGTGATGTATCTACACCAATCGGGTGACAGAATGAGCAGACATCATGGGCAGCCAATCAAATTTCCACAAATCCACCTTATCCTGACCACGTTTCCCCTTCTTGTTTTTATCCTCCCTGTGTTTCTCTTCTCCCCACGTCTCTCTTCTTGAAACGTTAAAGTTACAAATTCGTAATGTGCTGTTTTGATTCAGTGGTGTGGGAAACCACAGACAAGTGGGGAAAGCAGCCAGAACTGGCGTCAACAATTAATTTGTGCAAATTCTGTGGCCCTCAATTGGAATGTTAATCTATTAATGAGTGTCTTCTTCCCCTCATGTCTCCCTCCAATCTCCTTGTGGATCTCATCTTTTCACCTTGTCTAATTTCAGCTTTCTGCATGTTCTCATTGTCTTATTCCTCTCCATGCACCCTGTATATGCCTCCCCGTCTCCCTTCTGCTGTTCTTTATCTCTCCCTCCCCATGTCTCCCTGTGCCTCCCTGTATCTCCCTCTGCCTCCCTGTTTTCCTTGTGCTTCTCTCGTGTGTCTCCCTCCTCTCCATGCATCCCTGTGGCTCTCACTCTTGCAGGACGCGACTCTCTGTCGTCTGGGGATATCCAAAGTCCATGATCTCGTCCAGGAGCTCGTAGACGATCACAAAGTTGTCCCTTATGCTCTCCTCTTCCAGCTCCTTGAAGTACTCAGTGAACACCTGCAAGGGGAAACACAGAAAAGCATGGGGAGCCACGGCAGAGAGAAGGGAGAGATAGGGATAAAGGAGACATTACGAAAAGGGAGACATGGGGATGAGAAGGGAGAACCATGAAATAGAAAGGAGATACAGGGAGACGGGCAGGAAAGGAAAACACGTAAAAGGGGACACGCGGAAACAGGAGAAACAATCATGAGAAAGAAGACATGGAGAGGTGAAGAGGTACAGGGTGCAGCAGGGAAGCAAAATATTAAAAAATATTTAAAAATATCCTAAATACAAATGGGGTATCCTCTTTAAGGTGATCATATATAGGTATAGAAAACATGGATTTATGGAAAAAGTCAATAGTTGAATACATACACAAAACTGAATGCACCGTCTCCATCCCAATTCAGATTAATGTCAGTTCGTGTGAGTATGTCTGACACTACAGTATTTTATGAGCATTTCTCCCAAATAAAGAAAGGAGAGTACATTATTTCTATCCATATCACAGTCCTAAAATATTGACAACACACCCAAGTAAAAAGCCACTTTTTGTTTACACTAATACCCCTATCTGAAATGTACGTCAAACTGGAACTCTCCAGACACGAGCAGCGCATGGTCGTTTCCCTGGCGTTTTACATGTCGCCAACGCAAGGCCCTCACCTCCACGATCTTGTAGAGGAACGCAAACACCAGCGCCGCGTTTGCATTTTTTTTCGTAGCAGAGACGACTGATGCGATGAGTTGTCAAGAAACATGATTATATCTCACCTTGTCTCAATGTGTCTGTCTCCCTTTTCACTGTCTCTCCCCCAACCCACGTCTCCCTACTCCTCCCCATGTCTTCCATACCATTCCCGTGTCTCCCTTCACCTGTGTGTGTTTTGCCCTCCCTGTGTCTCCCTGCTGCTTTCTGTATCTGCTTTCCCCACCCGATATCTCCTTTCACCCCGTGTCTCCCTTCCCCTCCCTGTGTGTCATGTTACTTTTCTTCTGCTTTATATGCGCGTGTCCCTGTCTCTCCCTTCTCTCCTTCGTGTCTCTTCATGTATACCTTCTAGTGTTTTTTCCCTGTGTTTCCCTTCTCGTGTCTCCCTTCTATCAGCATCTTCCTTCTCCCCATGTCTCCCTTGCCCTCCTGCCCGTGTGGAATGTAGCTGTGTTGTGTTCCGGAGTCTCGGGATACGGTAGATGTTCTTGTGCTTGATCCACAGGAGACGCGTATCTCCGTGCTGCAGCACGGGGCTCGAGATGGAATTCTCCTCGCGCTCGTGGAGCAGAGACAGGAACGCATCTCCCGAAGACAGATCCACGTCTCCGCGGTAATTACGACTCAACAGAACCTGAAACATCGACACCGTCACAATCATCAACGTCAGCATCACCATTGACACCAATATCGTCACCATAATCATTACGATCACCAACATCATTGACAACACCATCGAAACCACCATAAAACAAAGTAACATTGCCATTATCAACACCATTATTACCAATAGCAACTCTATCAAGTACACTTCATCAATGCCTCCCTTCGACCCATTTCCCAATTCTTCTTGTGTCTTCCTTACCATTGTATGTCCCTTCACGTCTCCCTTCTCAACGTGTCTCCTTTCAATGCCCAACTGCAACCACGGCTCGCTTCGCCCCCTTCGTGTTTTCCTTTTCCTCCCCATTATTCCCTCCTCCCCATGTCTCAATTTTCTCCTTGTGCATCTCTTTGTCGATGTGCGTCGCCACGTCCACATTTTCCATCATATCCATAATCCAGAGGTGTAGCTATCAAATCATTTTAGAGGTGTCAACCCATCAGAAGTGGACAGGGGTGGGATTACGTGTGAAATGGCGATATGGGAAGATACAGACCACGCGAGACACCGAGACAGAAGACAAGTACAGAGACAAGGCGACAAACATGGAGAGACAGACACGGGGAAAGACGTTTGCTCCTTCATCAACGACAGTGCTGTTGCTCACTGATTAATTGCGTCACTTCAGATATATGTATGTTCAACTTCTTTCGCACCGTACGTAGCCAACCGTGCTAATTGGACATTTTGGCTGGAGAGTAGGGTAGGGGGCAGTGCCCAGGTTAAATGAAACTAGAGTGACCACGGTTGCTCTTACAAGTGAGACTATCTTCGCCTCGAATTCTCAACCGTTTCAACAAAATAAACGTGAACTAAGCGGGTTTAGGGGTCATGTCCGCCGTCACTGCCATCAGCGGCCATCAACCCCACTGACACGAACATCAACATCACCCGGCCGAACCCTAATGGATCATCTCGGGGGGCGGCTCTCACCTGGTTAAATAAAGCACGTGCGTGTTTTTGCAACCGCGCACCACGCGCCGTGTGCCCCAATGAGTAACCCGCGCGTTCAACAAGAGGAAATAATTCACCAGCACCGCCTCTTTGGCATTCACGCTCACAAGGTCATACGACACACGTTGAACCCTCTGGGAGCCGCAAGAGCCGCAAATGTGCCTCTACGAGCCTCGGGACATCAGCGGTGAAAACCAAACAAGCCTGTAAGCCATTGACACTGAACCGAATTGGAGCCTTAGTCTGGCTCTTCGAGTCTCCCAGTGGCTCTTTGAATACGAGGGAGTTATTGGTCTGGCTCTATGAGACCTAGGGAAGCCTTAGGTTGGTTCTATGAGCCTTAAGTGTGTGTCTGTCTAGCCCGTTAAATCATGGTGGAGCCTTAGTTTGGCTCAATGATCCGTCAAACCTGACGGAGCCTTTAGTCTGTGGCTTTACGAGCATAAAAGGGGCGCCTTAGTCTGAAGTCTATAAACTCCGAATAACGCTATATAAGCCATAGTTTAACTCAAGTACCTCGAGAACCTCAATTGAACCTTAGCCTGACTCCGAGCCAATTAATTACGACGGATGGATACACAGTACAGTATCCGTACATATCGACCGTACGCCACTTATTGTTCTTTAGTTACGGCTGATGTAGATGCAGAGGAACGACTACATTTTCACATTCGGGTGGTCAGGCCCAGACAACCGCGTCAGGAGCAGCGGAGTGTACCGCATACCTGTCAAACCCTTATCATTGCCCTACCTTATTACGGATCAATTCAGACATTATCGGTCACCCCGTGACCCCTATAAAAAATCTCAACGTTCATCCTACAATGTCCCATCACAAGGGAGAAACACAAACAAACACACAATTTTGTTTGCCCGTATTGAAACGGCTGTACGCCGTATGGACCTGAAAACTCAATTTCCCTGTACAACAAGAATACGGGGTATAAACCGTATGGGTTTGACACACTATCGCCGTGATGATGTCTCCTTCGTGAATCGCGGGGGGGGGGGGGGCATTGCGGCGTTTTCGTTGTTGCACGGTCTCTGTTCTGGATGACCAGTCCGCACACAATCACCACAAACTACTGGAGAGCTTTTTTAACATTTATTTTCCATTTGTGCACCGCGTATCCACGTCCGCCAGCCATGGGGTTTGTGCGGACGGCGTCTTTAAGGGTTGGAGGCCCACGAGCTCCGTGGGAGATCAAAAAAACCCAGCGGAGAGAATCTTCTGCGCGGTTGGTTCTGGCTCTTCATGATCAGATATAAATACAAGACGAGATTACGTATCCAGTAAACCAGAACAAGTACACAGCGTCCGGTAGATATCGACTGACGCGTCGGCGTCGTTGACGGCAGCGTTCATTTCCTCGTCGCGGCTCCCGTAGGCGGAATTCACCTGCGGCTGCCGAGGCGGCGATGAAACCTCCCCACCCCCCCTACACACAGACACACAAACCCCCCCCCCCACACACACAGACACACAAACCCCCCCCCACACACACAGACACACAAGCCCCCCTACACACACACAGACACAAGCCCCCCTACATACACACACACACAAGCCCCCCTACACACACACAAACCCCCCTACACACACACAGACACACAAGCCCCCGTACACACAGACACAAGCCCCCCTACACACAAGCCCCCCTACACACAGACACAAGCCCCCCTACACACACACAGACAAGCCCCCTACACACACACACACAAGCCCCCTACACACACACAGACACAACTCCCCCTACACACACACACACCCCCTACACACACACACACACAGGCCCCCTACACACACACACAACTCCCCCTACACACACAGACACAAGCCCCCCTACACACACACACAAGCCCCCTACACACAGACACAAGCCCCCCTACACACACACACAAGCCCCCTACACACAGACACAAGCCCCCCTACACACACACACACAGGCCCCCCCTAACACACACACACACAAGCCCCCCTACACACACACACAAGCCTGTGGGCGTCAAGTGATGTGACCGCCTATGAAAGGCCGGCACTTGTTGGCACACCACGGGGTAGGGCGGCGGGGGGGGGGGGCAGTAACCACAACCATGCACCGGCCGCCTTTGTATCCCCGCACCGGGTACTCGTTTTAAGGCCGAGTCGAACTAGAGGGAGGAAGGTCAGGAACTGAACTCTACCGACTGAGCTCGCAGGGCAGTGCACGAAGCACTACGCTGTATGATCACACACACACACACACGTGTACCACGAGGAGCCACACTCCCATAGATCTCCCCTATAGCCTGTAACAGACTCTTGGGGCAGGGGCTGTAAGCACCAGGCTGTATGATCACACACACACACATGTACACACACACATGTACACACACATGTACAGAGTGTTGGGGCAGGGGCTGTAAGCACTACGCTGTATGATCACACACACACACATGTACACACACATGTACAGAGTGTTGGGGCAGTAAGCACCACGCTGTATGATCACACACACACACATGTACACACACATGTACACACACATGTACAGAGTGTTGGGGCAGGTGCTGTAAGCACTACGCTGTATGATCACACACACATGTACACACACACATGTACAGAGTGTTGGGGCAGGTGCTGTAGGCGAGTAGCGGCACCTACGAGGGCTGTCTCACTGTAGCACACGAGGGGCTGGGTGGGACAGCAACCACGCGCCACCGATGTCTACAACACACCGCACCGGCTGTCTCATTTGAGGCCGAGTCGACCTAAGGGAGGCGAGTCGCAGGTACCGGGTTGAAGATAATCGCTATCGCCGGTGTTGGCGGCTCGCACAGGTTCGTAGCGCGGCGGACTCCACCGCTCCCCACATTAAACCCCAGCAGCAACAACCACAACAACCACAACAACAACAACAACCACCACAACCACCACAGCAACAACAACCACAACAACAACCACCACAACCACCACAGCAACAACAACAACCACAACAACAACCACAGCAACCACAACAACAACCACCACAGCAACAACAACAACCACCTCAACAACAACCACAACAACCCCGACGCCACCAGGCGGACCGCTCACCTGGCCCTTCAAGTCCAAGATGTAGATGGCCGACGTGGACATGGCCGGCGAAGTTGGACGTGGCACGCCACCACCAACAAGAGCAGCAGCAGCAGCAGCAGCAAACTAAACTAAGACTTCGAAACGACACGAGGACGACTTCAGTGGAACATCGAACGCGCGCGGGTCGCACTTGTAGCCGCCACCAAGACGGGGTCTCCCCCCTCGTGCCCCTCACCGACACCGCCGCAGCTCAACGCCGACGAAGCCGGAACTCAAAACACCCGGAAACTTTCAACGCCGCCGCCGTCGCGAGGCGGAACTTCTTTTTTTTACCTGGGGACGTCACCGCCCCCCCCGCCCAACCCCCCCCTCGCCCGCGGCGGCCATGTTTGTAAGGGAGGTTGTTGGGGGCACGCGGCTGTCGCCTGCGCCATCTTTGTCAAGGTAACGCAGCACGTTCGTTGTTCTTTTTTTGTATCGTTAATTAATTGTTCACCACCGCCGCTGAACTTCTGTTAAAACGCTTTTTTTAAACCAGGTAAGTATCCACTAAGCTATATTGATATTTTATTTTAGAAGTGACCGGGTTGTCACAAATGATTCATACCTGTTAACCCTTTATCAGTGCCCTTACCTTGTTATAGACCCGTGTCACACGGAGGGCTTTCGCGAGCAATATTCATGCTACAGGCTTGTTGGGTTGGCGTAAATATAAATGCGTCGTTAAATCCACTACCACCACCCGACACAGCCAACTAGTAAGGGTTGTCACGTTCAAGTTTCAAGTTTCAAGTTCATTTATTAGGTATAGCCCTGTGAGCCATTCAGCTCTTGAATCGGGTGCAACCGCAACAAACAAAACAAAAACATGAACAAAAAAACATCTTAAAGTGAATATGTGACTAAGTGCAAACAGAAAATCCAAGAAAAGACAGCAAAAAATATTGCAGAAAAAACACCGTACACCAACGCTGTGTGCAAAAATCCCAGTGGGATGCAAGTCAAACAACAACAACAACAACCACAAGACAACTTAGATTAAGGCCATCAGTCTAACTCTGTACTACAACAACACAAACATGGCTAAACCAATACACTTTTCGAAATCACCAAAATAAAGCCATGAAGGCAATGAAAAAGCAATCATAGGAACTGACGGAATTTTCACAATAAATGGCATAAACAACATGTACTACCAAAACCCTGCAGCCATAGCTGGCTGCATGAGTCACTCCACAACAGCAGGAGCATCAATCGGAGTATTGTAATTTTTCAATGCACCTTTAAGATCAGCACACTAAATCAAAACACAGGTCATACTTTGTAGCGATCATCCGGAGCGAAACATTTTATTTTAGGTCACTGAATAGCACTGGCAGCTAGGGGTGTACAACTCCTCTAAAGCAGTTTTGAGTGAAGATCTCATAGGTAGTGACTCAAGTTTCAATTTATTTGCAACAGCATTCCAGACCCTGGGGGCATCAATAGCAAAGGCCCTTCCTCCAGTATATGTACGGCAATAGGGAATATTAAGCTGGTAAATGAGTGTAGACCTTAGGTCAAATTTGTTCTTTGAAACAGAGACGAGATCCAGCAGGTAATCTGCAGATTTTTTTGCAAGTACATCATGAATAAATAAGATCTGGTGCACAAGCCGTCGAACATTCAGAGATGTTAAGTTTGACCCAATGTAGAGATCACAGTGGTGAGTCCTATATGGGCAGTTCAATGCAAATCTTAAGGCCGAGTGATACATTGAGTCAAGCTTCTTCAGTACAGTACTTGGGGCTGATTTATACACAATGTCACAGTAATCAAGTAGAGGCAGTACGGTAGCTTTAATCAATTCCAAACGGAACATAGGAGGGAAGCAGTGCTTGTGTCGATATAGAAAACCAATTTTAATTTTTGTCTTTTTCCCAATATAATCAATGTGATCTTCAAAATTCAGTTTTGAATCCAGGATGACCCCAAGATACTTATAGATCTTGACTTGCTCTATTTGATCATTATTTAAGGTATGTAATTGGGGAAAAATAACTTCCCGCTTTAGTCCTGGTGAGAAGCATAGCACCTTGGTTTTGGCAGGATTTAGGACTAGTTTAAGAGCAACTAGCTGATGTTGTAGTTTGTTGAAATCACTCTGGAGCTTAGCAATCACGTCATCCGGAGAGCGGCCAGCAGTAATTAGTACCGTGTCATCTGCAAAAAGATTTACCCTGGAATAATCCAGTTCAGTGCCCAAGTCATTTACATAAAGAGAAAACAAGAGGGGGCCGAGAATGGAACCCTGTGGAACCCCTTTTGTTATCTTAACACTGTTTGACCTCCAACCATCTGTGAATACAGTTTGGGTGCGAGAAAAGAGGTAATTTTTTAACCATTTTACTGTGTTTTCGGAAAAACCGAGGCAACTTATTTTACTAAGCAGGATGTTGTGGTCAACTGTATCAAAAGCTTTGGACAAGTCAAGAAAAAGACAGGCGCAGTACTGCTTATTATCAAGGCTACTGTAAATGTGATTCAGAGAGTCTAATGCAGCAGATGTGGTGCTGTATTTTTTTCGGAACCCAGATTGTTTTAGATGTAATAGATTGTTGGCGGACAGGAAACTGTTAATTTGGTAGGTCAATAATTTTTCAAAAATTTTCATCAACGGGGACAAAATTGAGATAGGTCGGTAGTTATTTGGATCATCTTTAGGGCCCCCTTTGTGAAGTGGACGAACATAGGAATGTTTCCATTCTAGAGGAACTGATGCTTCTTTGATGGACAGGTTGAAAATATGGGCTATAGGTTTGTATATTAGGTGACCAACAGTTAGTAGAGCAAAGACGGGAATACTATCTGCTCCGGTAGAGGAGGACCCTTTGAGGTAGGACAGTTGTTTCAGAACATTACTTTCGTGGATTGGCTGAAAACTAAATTCGCTTAATGTTTGGACAGGAGTGTAGGAATTTGCATGAGCAGGGGTGACTCCCAATACATTATCAAATAGGGTACCAGCTTCAGAAAAATGAAGGTTAAAATTGTCAACTATTTTTTGGGGAAATAGAACATGACAATTCGTCACTAGTACAGCACACGGGTGTGTTGGAGAGCCAAGCCACAACATTTACAATCTCAGTACGACGCTTCACAAATCTGGCTGTCGCCTGATGAAGCTAGTTGTAATTGCTGGCGAAACGTCGGACTGGTGATTGTGGCTACAGTGATTGTGGTTACACGTAAGGGGCCGTCCATAAATGACGTCACGCACCTAGGGGGGGGGTCAGATATTTTTCACGATGTGTGACGAGGGGGGGGGGGGGGTGAGAAATGTGACGTCACATCAAAATGCGCAAATTTAAATACATATAAAATTGTTATAACAACACTAATTGTTATAACAACACTCCTACAACATCAGAGTGCAGCGCCACATTAAATACGCACTACAATGACAATAGTTTAAAGCGATTTGAAGCATGTTTTATTTTCAAAATGGAAATATGGTTTGGGGGGGGGGGCAGAGCTTTGTGACGTCATATTTGAGGGGGGTCTGACTTTTTGTAACGCCGTGTGACGAGGGGGGGTCAAAAATCGACCAGAATCGCGTGATGACATTTATGGACGGCCCCGAAGGGAAAATTGTCGCGAGTGTGTTGAGTATAGCGTCTCCTAGTGGCTGCAAGCTATATTATAATACATTATCGGACTAAAACACATTTGGAGTTGGAAGTCTGATTTTAACTTAAAGCTTTCGTGACTGCAGGAATTCATATTCTTTGGGTCTTTCGGTAAAATGATCCCACCAACAGCCTTGTTACGAAAACCAACAATATCATCACCGATTCGACATCTTTAATCGAACCAACCAAGCGGTGTTCCTTAAAACTAGACCACCCAGATTGTATGGCTTACCAAAAATCCAAGAAGGTACACCCCTTCGTCCTGTCGTCTCCACCATTGACTCACCCACCTACAAACTGGCCCAATTTCTGTCTGAGACATTGCAGCCATTCACTGGCAAGACCGCAGTGGTAGCTTAAAGCAGTGTGGGGGAGTCTTAATTTTTGGAGCTTTCGTGACTGCAGGAATTATTCTTTGGTTCTTTCGGTTAAGTCACGTCTAAAGATAAAATAATAAATTAAAATAATAGCGACGTTTCGATTGCAACACAAGCAATCATCATCAGGCATAAGAGAAATAGCAACAAAAATCTAACTAGAAAACTATAGACAGACATACAAGCAGACAGACATCACAAGGACACACAGAGAGAGGACACATATCGGCACAGAGAGAGGGGTCGTTTCTGTGACGGTCCCTTAAATATAGGGAGGGGGGGCGGGGACGGAGAGAGTGTGGGGGAGGTGCAGCTGCACCGAGAAACATGGCCCGGAGGAAGCAGCCGAGCCGCTGGGCTACAGACAGGACGGACATTAAATAGAGGGCCCCATTTCATTCCGAGCACCAGGAGAACCATGCCAACCGCGCTACGCCAGCCAATGGGGAGACAAGTTTTACATTGCTCGAGTCTCGTGCTAAACACTTACACAAATCTACAATCCCCATCATTGAGCACAAGTTATTTGACTCCCGTGGAAAGCCACCGTGAAGCCGATAGAAAGCAAAGTCCACTTCCAGTTATTTGCACGACTGTATACAGTATATTTTTTAAAATGCATTAACATATTGCATGTTTTGCTCTGCATAAATAGCTGTGATGTCATATAGCAAGTGAAACAGTGGATAAGCAAAGGCAATTTCAATTCAAAGTATTTTATTTAACCAGGTGAGAGCCATTGAGTTTAATAATCTTTCGAAGGGACACCTGGGATCCAGTAATTTTTTGGGGGAAAAATAGGGATTTGTACAATTTTAAAACATTCTCAATAACACGTTTTTAAAGGAATATTCCATGACAGCATTAACCTGCATGACATAAGTCTAGTAAACATATCGCTTTAGCTAAATATCAAATGTTTAATAACGTATATCTAGAACCCGCAAAAAAAACCACCACCGCAAACCGTGAGGGGTGATGGGAAAGTCCGTGGCCTGACAAGACGAAGAGTGGCTGGTGAACTGATATAGTTGCAGGCACTGGTCCATCAATGTCACAAGGATCTAGGAAATCCAAGAAAAAGCTTCATCTCACTCCCCCACACCACTCAATCACGTTGTCACTAAACATTACTTTCCCCGCAAGCAATGCTTAACATATGGAAACATGTGGAAGGAACCAGGCACCTAACCTGGTGGTATGCTCTGGATTGTTTTAGAATTTTTCTACATACAAAAGAAAATCTCAAGATTGCTAAACTTTGATATTTTTTCCCCCCCACATTTCTTAAAATTTTCTGATTTTCTTTCGGATTATCTTTCTCTCTCTCCATAGTCTCTGCATTTTTCAGTTTCTCCAACATTCAGCAAACACAAACAAAACAGACACAATAGGAGTTATCGCCCTGAAATGTGATAACCTTGAAACACTTTGCAATTCTTGATTGATATTATTTGCTACAGTGCCACTCTGCTTGTGTCCAGCCACGGGCCTTGTAAATTGAAAAACATGCGAGAAACAGCTTGCGGCGAGATTACGTTTTAGACGTTAATTGTACAACTCGCGCACAATGGCACATTAGGTTGCATGTTAAGCAATCCGTATTTATCGTCGTTATTTTAAATGAATTTAGAGAGGAGCTGTAATGTAAAGAAAAACTTTTTACATCAAGACATATCGTGTAAACGCTACCAAACCGATACTCAAGGAAAGCAAACAAAACGGTAACATACATTTTTCTGTTGTTCCTTTTATCACAATAAAATTTTAGCAAAAACAATTCCACTTCTAAATTGTCATCTTTCAAAATATTTTTACAGTATTCAAATTGTATTACCGTCGATTAAAAAGGTAGTAACTCATAGACCTTCATTGCCCCTTGCGATTGACACCCTTATTCAAACCAGGTGGCAGCCCATATCATTAATGCCTGAAAAAAATGTAAGATGTTAACTGATAACGATGTTAACTGAAGGATAATCGTGTCAATAGGTTAACCGTCACTTGAAAACTGACATTGAAAATGTTTTACATTAAATGGAAATACTGTTCATTGATATTGATGTGAATTGGTGATATTGATTGCAATGTAATATGGTATGTTCATTTAAATGTAACGACATGTAAATGTCTTCACAACTGTGTGTTAATTACAAAACACAAGAATGACAGATGGCTGTTGAAAGTTTGTGCAGTGCTCGTGGCAACTTCTGGCAATTCCTGTTTGAAGAGTTGTCCCCGCTGTGCAAAGCTGCCTGTGAATTTCTAAGATGGCGGTGAACTGTGCGTCACGTGGGACCAGCAGCATTGCGTAGAAGTATCTGATGAAGTTTTACAGGTGAGCTGTAAAAGTCGCCGATAGGTGTCTCGCATACAGAAGTGTGGTGTTGAGCGGTGCTAGGGGTTTCAAGATGTACTCAAGTCGGTAAAGAGGGATGAGGGTGCAAAAGCAGAATTCCTAAAATAGCAGTGTTCTAAAGCATTCAATGTTTCTCCCATTCAGGCATTACAGCATAAATTGGACATGTGTACGCGTGGCAGAGAAACACCTTGATAAACAGGGTTTCATTCACTTCACCTTCAAATTGACTACAACTAAAAGTGGAGGTTTACCACGAATAACCCTTGTAGTGTCACAATCCAACTGCATCTCCAGATGCTGTAACAAAATAGTTTGGCCATGCATTATGGGGACCACAAAAGGGAGGTTTATATAATTACGGTAAGGTGCGATTGAAGACCCGTCGTAAAAAAGAGGGGTCAGTCATAAGCAGAGTAGAAGGGGGATCTCTTAAGGCTGGATTTGGGAATTCTAGGTGACGAGAACAAGAGCAAAGAATGAGCGATCTCCCATCGAGCTAGGCTGAGGGCTTTGACAGAAGCCCTTGCGAGGTTGGTGGAGGGGAGTCGAGTGAAATAAGAAGCACTAGGCAGAGGCAAAGACGATCTTTCAGATGTCGAGTGACTGCATGTAGCTGACGTGGGACTGTATTGGGAACCAGTAGAGGGGATCCGAGGATGTGAGTGATGTGGTTTTTGTTTACGAGTGCGGCACTCTGGCTCATCTGGCATTTGGAGAGGCATTTGGGGAGGATATAGAGAAGAGTTGCAGACAAGGCGAGAGGCGATAAAGGCATGGATAAAGGCATGGATAAAGGCATGTGTAATGAAGGTATGGGTAATTTATATTATAAATTGTCAGTTGATGACATGGCGTCATAATAATGGCAATTGATATAGTTTTGTAAAAACATGTACAATGTATATTTATGTAAATGTTGGCTTGTTTAATTATATTAAGATCTGGACTTTATGTAATTGTATAGTTTGATGTAACTGTTCATGTCCATAATTATATCGTGTCCACTAAACAAATGAACATATTTACTCAAGGAAAATAACTGAAAAGGACATCAGAGTATGTGTACCCAGGTCAGTTATTAAAGGCGGTCTGGGATGGAAATTAAGAAGTAAAGAGGTGAGCGAGAGCAGGTCGGAGTGAATTTTACAATGAGAAGTAACAAACCAATGCACCTAAATAACATTTTCAATCGGTGCAAAAGCTCAAAAGTGTGCAAAGAAAACAAACACAAATTACATTGCCTTAAGAAAAGTGGGTTTTGGGCAGGACACATCATTAGAAGACAAACCATGTCAGCAAAAGGAGGCACATGTCCAAGACGAAGACCACCGAAGAGACCCAACGATGAGATCGGTTGGTGTGCAGGAGCTCAATGTATCGCTTCGTCGCAAGACATTGATGGATGGCGACGACTTGGGGATGCCTTCACGCAGCAGTGGACAGGTCATAGATGTTGATGATGACCTTATTAGAGTAGATGGATGCACTTGTCCGCATTAATAGAACAAATGCTGGGGTTGTGTGTTCAACCACCCATCAGCCATTATGAATCTCGCCTTTGTTTTCGCATCACTGCATGCGGAGCTGGTAATCTGAACACACAAAAAAATAAAAATTAGACACAAGGGGAAGTTGTCTCTCTGCTCAAGAAAGTAATGGGGTAAACCGCTATAGACTGATTATGGTGGTGCAGTTGGTGATGCCACTGCTACCGCTGCTGATGTTGATGGTGCTAATATTACTGCTATTGACGATATTAATTCCGCTTCTGCCATTTCTGCAGATGGCTGCTGATCATGTCAGTTAAAATGCCACGGCTACTGCTAAGGTTAATACTACTGCTCAGTTTAACACGTAGGCTTTAGCGAACAATATTTCAATCTGAGTACCAAGCCACAACATTACAATCTGAGTACACAGATTGTAAATATTGTGGCTTGGCTCTCCAACACACCGGTGTGTTATACTAGTAACGAATTGGCATGTTCTGTTTACGTGACAAACCTGACTAATTGGCTGTGTCGGGTGGTGGCGGGTTTAACGACACATTTATATATTTACACGATCTAACCCAAAAAACCTGGATTATGATTAATACTGCTTCGGCTAATGATGCTGCCGATGATGTGCTGAATGAACGCCCAACTGGGATATTAACTCATACATTCTGATTGCAGGTCTAACCTCTGACCACAGTGACACCAGACCTGATACAATTTTTTCACATCTGAAAATGGAGCTGATGGCACAGGGTCTCCGACACACCCATTATGAAGATATCTCACCTCCACTCTGTGTGATATACCGAACCCACGGTAGTGCCTGATATCCACTCTTCTCCATGATCTTCAGATAACGAACCTGATGAAACACGGGGAGACATGGGGAGGTGGAAGATACAGGGAGGAAGAAGGGAATTAAGGGACAAATGGGACATGGTGACATTGGAGAGAAACAAGTATAAGGAAGACACCTAATTAATAAAGGGTACCTCCTACTGTCCTGCTATAATCGAATAATTATAATCATAAAAATAATGTATGTATGAGAGGGTCAAGCACATTTGAGACAGGATAGAATTTTGTTTCAGGTAACAGGATTGAAACTCTCATCATCTGCAGTTTTACTTAAGCATAGTACATTCCTCCACCTGCTGTATTGTTGTGGATGAGAGGAGTGCCATTATGTATCGAGTGTCACTCTCACCTGGATGCCAGATGTGGTGAAGTACGGAATCTCAAACTTGACGGTGATCGGGGCCCGGCCGTCAGATTCCTCTGCACCGACACTCGGCAGCCCAAAGTGAGCTCTTAGCAAGTACTCCTTACCACCCTGTGAGACATGGGGAGGAGAGGGGAATGACGGGGAGTAGAGGGAAGACACTGAGAGGAGACAAGACATGGGAAGGTGAGTTGAGATGCAGGGAGGACAGCGGAGACACGGGGAGACATGAGGAAAAGTGAAGTGATACACAGGGAAGAGAAGGGAGACACAGGGAGAAGAGGGGCACAAAGAGAAGTGAAGGGAATTATGTGGACAAGGGCGACCGGGGAAGACTTGAGACAGGAGGGAAAATAAAGGAGATGGGTGGCGACAGGAGATTGGGTGAAAGACAAGGGGATAAATCGAGCAGAGAAGTGAAGGGAAACACGGGGAGACACACCGTCCCCACGTCCCTGTGACCTTGTCTCACCGGCATGGATTTGATTGTCCACACGAGAACTCCCTCCTCGGGGATCCAGGCCGTCGTCCCCGTGGAGACGCGGAACTTGGGGGAATCTGCGTCGGCGGGGACTGGGACTCGAATCTCCACACCGCTTGCCGTCGACTTGCGCTTGAACTGGCTCTTGGCCTGCGCGGGACATCAAGCCACTCAACACGACTTCGCTCACCCCCCCCCCCATCCCCACCACAGGTCCCACTGGGGCTTCCATTCAATAAAACCCCCTCTAATCCTCTAAGAGGAGGGTGGCCTTTGACACCAAATCTTCCGACCGGCCATGCACTAACAGGTGGGATTATATATAGTTGGATTAAATTAATGGTTTGGCCACTGAGCTCTCTAAATGATACATTTACAGAAAACAGCAAGAATCAACTTGTAGATGGAATTGTGGACAAGAAAAATTCTACGTTTTCAATTACCGAGCATTAATTATGATACATTTCACGTGGTAGTACATTTAATTATTTATTGATTTTATATTACAAATTAACGTGTAGGCAGTTCACAGTATTGGCGTGTTTAGGTTGGCGGAGCACACAAGCTCACCTTGACGATGTATTCAATTCTGCCCGAATGCCTCTCAATGGCCGACTCGATCCAAACGAGGGGCTTCACCTGGAGATATCAACAACCGCCATCAGCATCATCATTTTCTTTTCTCCATGTCTCCCTCCCCTGCACGTGTTCCTGTGCATCCCCAAGTCCTCATGTCTGCGTGTATCCCATGTTCCCATGTGTTCTCCGTGTCACAGTAGTCACGTGTCCCCCAATGCATCTCTGGATTCCTTTGTGCCCCGCCACGTTCCTGTGTGCTATGCGTGCGTGTGTGTGTAGATGGTGGTTCAGCAGCTCAAACTCCCCATGTCCCTATGTCCTCCATGTGTTCCCTTTTCTTCGTGTGCCTGTGTCCCCTGTACCTTACTTATGTGTAAGTGTAGCAGGCCAAACTCCCTGTGTGTCCTTGTGTATCTCCATGTCTCTGTCCCCATATCCAGAAGTTCTTACATGTGTGTAAAGACGGTAGCTCATGAGCTCAAACTCCCCATCTGGGGGGATGAATGAGATGGTTCGATCGTTGTCGAAGCGAGAGAGGCGCACGCACTGATGGAACTTCACATCCTCCAGCTCCACTCCCTTACTCTTGTCTCCTGGGGGACACACAGATACATGGGGACAGAGAAGGGAGACATGGGATGCAGAGGAAGACATTAGCCATTAGGACACACGGAGACACACAGAAAACTGGGAGACAAGTGAAACAAGAACACGTGATCGATGGTGAGGGATAGCTGTGATTAAAGTGAGGATGGCAATGATGCTATTGCTATGCTGCTGCTGTTGCTGATTATAATGCTAGTGACGATGATGGTGACAGTAACGGAGAAGTTGATAATGATGATACTTTTGCAACTAATGTTGATGATAATAATATGCTGATGATTCTGATATTACTACTGGTGATTATGATGATGTTCATGATAGCCATGATGTGATAACTCACGTCCCGTCTGCTCAAACAAGACCTTGTCGTTCAGTCCGAGTCTCAACTCGGGCATTCCCGACAGGAAAACCCTCATCTTCACCGTCCCTACAATCTCACTCCGCAGAACCGAGCCTGTCGCACTCACCTGTAAATACACATAATGATTAACAGCAATAGCTTCATAAGTCAGCAGGAGCAACATCATCAACATCATCTGATTTAATGAACAAGGAAGCAAAAAAGCAGCTAACTCAAAAAATACATCAGCCCAGAAAAAGGAATAATCATGCATTTAAAAAGGTGGAGAAAGTATGAAAAAATATATGACCCTTGGATAGAGAAAAATGAATAAAGGTCAGACTTTTTTTAAAGATAAAATTTGGGCCAATTTGTGGCTATTTAAAACATAAATAAATGGTGTAACAGCAATTAACATATAAATAATACAAGGATGTAGAAATGAGCTCAAAATAGCACAAACTTGCAGTGAATTGGATCACAAAACTATCGGTTCGTGCGATCAAAATAAAAAATGTATAGTTACATTGAAATTATACCAATTTACATGCTGAAATCAGAACAATAAAAATATTTGGATAAAAATGGTAAATAACCTAAAAACCCGATTACGAGCGAATATTGGGAACACGGCATCGCTCACCAGGAGGTTGACGGACTCGATGACGTCGAGGAAAACCTCGTTCTTGCGGTACTTGATACCTTCGGAGCGCCACGACACCGCGTTGGTTACGGTTGCTGGGGGGCGAGGTGCCCCCACCTCCAGCTTGTGCCCCTCCTGGGTGATGTATCTACACCAATTGGGTGATAAGAGGGGGTGGCCGCAGAGGAGGGTATCAGAGGTATGCCAATCAAGTACAGTGGGTGGAGGCTAAAGTGGGCGAGCCATATCTACTCCCGCAATGCTTCCCAGCACTTCTAGGTGTCTCCCTTCTCCCATGATTGCATTCTTGTGTCTTGCTTTCACCTCAATTCTTGTGTATTCTAATTTCCATGTCTCCATTCTGCTTGTCTCCCTTCTCATCCCCGTGTCTCCCTTCTCCTGTATCTCTCTTACCAATACCTGCCTTCACCGCACCGATGTCTCTCTTCTTCCTGTGTCTCCTTTCTGCTCCCTCTGTCTCGCTGCTCATCTGTTTCCCTTGTCCATGCCATTCTTTTCCCCCCCTGCACCTCCCTTATTCTTGCGTCTCCCTCCTGCCCATGTTTTCCTTGTGCTTCCTGTGTCTCTCTCCTCCTCCCAGTACGTCCGCATAGCTCTCACTCTTGCAGGACGCGACTCTCTGTCGTCTGGGGGTATCCAAAGTCCATGATCTCGTCCAGAAGCTCGTAGACGATCACAAAGTTGTCCCTTATGCTCTCCTCTTCAAGCTCCTTGAAGTATTCATTGAATACCTGCAAGGGGATATATGGGGAGACACGGGGACACACAATGGGAAGGATAGAATGGAGACATGGGATTGTGGGGAGACAATGAGACATTGAGAGATGGGAAGATATTGTGGAAGTGGATGCTATAACTGTGGTTCTAGATGTTTAAATATTTGTAGTTATTTTGTCATTGCTGCAGCATTGGTTGTGGGTGTTTGGAGTGGTTGTAGCTATTGTAGTAATAGTTGTCATGGTGGTTGAAGTGCTTGTTGTTTAGATGTAGTGGTTGTTGAGGTTGCTGTGGTCACTATAGTAATTGCAATTTTCACTGTGGTTGTTACAACAATTATTGAAGTAACTGTTATTGTTGTTGTTATAGTAATGTCATAATTTGGAGATGAGGGAAGGACACCACTGGACAAGTGATCAGATATTCTCAAATTGTCATCGATGTTGATGGTGTGTAATGTGCAATGGTGAATCAACAGTGATAACGTGGTGATATTGATGTTGATGATAGTGATGGCATTGTAATATTGATGATGGTGTTGCAATATGAATGAAGTTGATGATGGCAGAAATGGTGTTGTAATATTGAGTCTGTTAATGATGGTGTTCATGGTGCTCACCTGAACAGTCTTGTACAGGAAAGCAAAGACGAGGGCGACGTTAGCATTCTTGTTGGTCGTCGCCACAACTTTACAAAACGTTAAGGACATCAAGCTTAACACGTAGGCTTTCGCGACCATTATCATCCATAATTGAGGTTTTTTAGACTTCTCCACAATCTGGCTGTCGCCTGATGAAGCTAGTTGTAATTACTGGCGCAACGTCATACTCAGGTTGTAAATGTTGTGGCTTGGCTCTCCAACACACCAGTGTGCTGTACTAGTGACGAATTGGCCACGTTCTGTTTACGTGACAACCCTTACTAGTTGGCCGTGTCGGGTGGTGGCAGGTTTTAATGACATTTATATATTTACGCAATCTAAGCCAAAAAAACTCTACTATGGACATCAAGCTTGTCAACTTTGTGCTCAAATTCTTTAGCCTCCTCTTACACCACTTCAATCCATCAACCTCTTGAATGACTTCCACCTCAATATCCACCAATTTCTCAACCTTCCCCTCAATGAATACTATCTCAATATCCCTCATCTCGATACCCACCACTGCAACGCGTCAACATTCACAACTTTGTCAATGTCCTTCACCACCTCAATGTTGTCCACCTCAACCTATAAACGTTCACCACCTCCTTAAACTCAACCTCATCCGCTTCCTACTTCATTCTCCCAATCCACCACCTCAACATTTTACAAATCACCTCCTCTTTCTCAACTTTTGCAGTTTTCGTTATTGTTCTCCTTGTGTGCCACCTCTTAGGTGCAACCCTCTGTCTCCACATCTCTGCCTGCCTCTCTAACCCCCTCCCGCCCACCTTGCTCTCACCCCATCCCCCCGCCTCCACCCATACAGGATACTGTAGATGTTGTTGTGTTTGATCCACATGAAGCGTACGCCACCGTGGGACAGCACGGGGTTGAGGGTGCCCTCCTCCTCGCGCTCGGTGAGCAGAGAGAAGAAGGCATCGACGGCACTGGTGGGGACGTCGCCCCTGTAGTTCCTGCTGATCAGGGTCTGCGCATGACACCGCACAATCCACGGGGACGTCCATTGGCAAGAAGTAAATGCAACTTGGAATGATGAGGTGGATGATAATGTTGATGCTGCTGATGTGTGTGATGTTGCTACTGATAACGCTGATAAATTATGCGTTTTGTGTTTAGTTTGTCTTTCCCCCCGCACCTCCGATTAGCACGGTGTGCTGTGTACAGTGTGAAAGAAGTTCAACATACATACATGATGAGAGTTGTTAACGTTTCAGATATCTGTCATTTGAAGGGCTATTCCTGAAACGGTTAGTATAAAAATTGGAATTCAAAATGCCTGCTAGTTTTACTCAATAATGTTTTATTACTTCCTTGTAAAATGTTACATGCGTACATTAAGCACGTTCAATTTATTCAGAAATGTATCCAGACGTTTCGACTGCAGTCCGAAGCCAACGTGACATTTGCTAGATATTAAATAAACTTTTTTCAAAAAGGTGCCTTTCATTCAAATTTAAATCGGTTTGAGATATTGCCCTTTAAACATGCATCCTACTAACGCGACACATTTGCATGCCCATTACAGTATACTTTATTGTGAAATAACGCATTTAGGACCGAGGCAATCTTTAAGGACAAACTAAACAATTGGACATAATCGGGATAAATCCACGAAAATTCGATTACCTGCCACGGCGAGTATCAGCGGCGGGTGATATCTGACGCGAGCCTGATTTACCAATCCAGTGACCAGCAAGGTGAAGTATGGTCAAAGGTCAAACAACCCCCTCGACTAACATCCAGTATTGGAAGAAGCGGCTGTGAATTGTGAGTAATCAGGTTCACACTGTAAAAAAAGACTACGCGCTGTACATAAAAACAAATTGAATACTTAACGAGTCTATTGTTCTAAATATTAATGGGGACCTGCGAGTGCCAGTCCGCACAACCTGACATTTGGGTCCAGTGGACAGTTCGGCTCAAGAAACTCTGCCAGAGGCAGATTTTTTCGTGTTCGGTCCAACAAAGTACCGAATTACCTCCTCCTTACCTGGGAAACATTTTGAAATCGACACTGCCCGTCCGTTACAGGAGCTGTACGCAAATGTGGCGACGTGACGCCAATGAATCCATTTACCCGTGAACGATCCTGGCCCTCGTTCCACGTTGCAGCAATTTTATTGTAAGGGATGGCGATTGTTCGGAAGAAAAACAACAACCACATGTTCCTGACATTCCGGTGATTGAATGTCTGCAATGTATTTGATCAGTTTAATAAAGTTACTGAGGAAAAACAGAACGAAGCACGATTGCTTTGGAGGCACACGTATCGTATGTTTCTAATCATTTTTATTTGATGACCTCTGAGTGCAGGTGCACGACGTGAAGGTTGGGGATTTAATGGCAGGGTTGGATAAGCAAGTTGGAAGTTCGTGGTAAACGTGGCAGGGCAATGCTGTTGATGTAATCAGGAAGAGCAGGTTGAGGTGGGCGGCGAGACACACGGAGGCGAGAGCGTCATTAGCCATCAGTGGCACGACTCCGAGTTCACATCATCATCAATCACTCTGGGCCGATAACATAAGCACGTCAGCAAATCAAGCGTGAGGAACGTTACACGGATAAACTGAGCACGCCATGTGAACGTGGAATGTCCACCCGCTGGTGGAGGGCCGCTAACTCGCGCCGTGCCACGCTCCTTTGAGCAGTGACCCCGGGATTGAACCTTGAGCCTGGAATGTCAGCGGTTGTCTCCGACATTATGGAGAGATTGCGAGAGAGGGGAAGACCCAAGGACTCTTAACCCATCCCTCAACCGACGCGACACGGAGACCCCGTAGGGGGGGGGGGGGCGGCTTGCCAAACGCTGCCGACCTCAGGACCCCAATCCCGGCACCAGATTCAGGCGAGCCCGTGGCTTCAACCTCACGCGATCCTGCCGACATAATATAACGTCGTGTTTTTCCATTTAAAAAATAGCGATTGTTGCTCATCTTTACCTTTCCCTTGAGGTCCAAAATGTACACGCCCGACGCCGACATGGTCCTTGTTGTTTTAAAATAAAATAGACAAAAAAAAATGTTTGTAACGATTTGTGTTGCCGGCCCGCCCGATTACACAAGGGCGTCGCCTCGGCCAATGGGAGCGCGACTTCCGCGGTGACGTCGACACGGCGGTGACGTCACCGGATCAAGCGTGCGCCACGTGGGGCCTGGATGGCGGGAAGTTCAAATCTCAAGGCGACACGAAAACCCAGAGGCTGGGCTGAAATATTAAACCCGAACTGTCATGGGCTTAGATGGGGAGGTGTAAATACTACTATATTCCCCCACTACACCCACATGCTTCCGAGAGATATGAAGCCCTGCACATGTTCCATGTAGCGGTTGAGATCAAGGACCTTTACTAATTTGATTACGAGATGAGGCTTCTGTACCGGATTAGAAGTGGACTTCTGTAATATTGGTAGAGGGTCGGTGGTGCTGGATTGAACTGGATAAAAGCAGCTCTCAACCCTTTGCAGGGTGCTGTGTCCGCTGCTATATTAGGGTGATATATTGGATAATACAACAGTTGTGCGTCAGATGCGACTATATTTCTCTACTACACGGGACGACGGTTCTGGACCATGTGTAAAATGAGAAGTTTCTTTAAGTATTAAATGGGATGAGGTTCCTGTATTGGATGGGATAACGTAACATCATTTTTCAAAATGTTATTTTGGAGCACATGATTATTCTATTTCAGTAGATACTGGATTAGATCACAGTTATTGATTAGATGGCATCAGGCTACTTGTATTTGATGAGAAAATGGTTGTGTATGGGATAAGGGTCCTGCTGGATGACGCAAGACGATGGTCGTGCATCAGAGGAGATGCATCGAAGTAGCCGAGGGCTGTCTCGAGAACTCGAACCTGCTCATGATGCGACTCAAATAACATTAAACCCGCGATGGAACCCATTTTAAATGTTTAATTTAATCACACAAATACACAGATATAAATAAATGGCAAATTACAGATAAACACTGAAGCCGGGTGTATTGGCCATTATTGATCACGTCTGTAATCCAGAGCTTTGGAGGCAGGGTTGGTGGATCACGCAGAGATCATTGAGGATGCCTTCTGAAGACAATACAGCAAACAAGTTAATTCTGACTCAATCCATCTGCACAGTTGGGAGTTTTCAGTGCGGTGCCCATGTAAACGTGTGGGTGTTCTCCAGGCATTCTGGTTACCTCCCAATGAGTGTAAAAAATACGCGAGTGTCAAAAAAGGCCCTCCTGAAAGCGTTTTGGGACTTGACGAGGCATTCCCATCATGTTGCGGAGAGCTAGTGATATACTTTAGGTGATAAGAATGTTAGATTTACAACATTAATGTGGGGATCTTAAGAAAGCAACTACTGGCTTTTGAGCGTAAGCAATGGCGGAGCCAGAATTTTCAGGTAAGGGGGGGGGGGGCAACCCCTCCAGCAATAAAAAAAAATTGATAGCTGTTAGTAAGGACTTGTCCCTTGCTTTTTATTCAACGCATGTGCGGTGATGGCGCAGCCATCGATCGAGGGTCGAATTCGAACCGCGTTGTGATCGGCATCGCGCTTGCTGAAGGTGTTTGCCTTCAGGGAAGTCGTGTACTGTATATGCAACCACGCACAATTCTGAGTCACTTATAACTGCTTTTCCGTTGCTTATTGCCAATTATGGACTCAGACTTATGTCCTATCATCTCATAGAGTTTCTGGCACGTCATAATATGCTACAGTGACAGTGGGGGTCGCAAATTTGCCGATTTATTACAAATAAACCCTAATGATCCGATCGAAATTAGGGATTTCGATCGTATCATTGGGGGGCACGTGCCACCCCATCCCCCCACTGGCTCCGCCAGTGAGCGTAAGTGCACATGGACGATAATCAGAATTTCATGGCAGGATAGGGTAACTTTTAAGGTGGGAATAGAACGTGGCAAGAAAGTTGGTTTTTCGGTGCAATCTGGAAGAGGTTGTAAAGAGTGGAGAGGTGTGTAGTGCGAAGGTCAGGTTACCGAGACAGGCATTACAGTGGCAGCCAGAGGGTGACGACCAATGGAATGACCTAAAGTCGTGGTGTTTAGAATGTAACAAGGGAATGACCTAAAGATGGTTATTGAATTATGTCGACCATAAAAATGGAAAGACACTCAAGCGAGATGGTAGTGGGACTATAAAAGTGATCCTTCAAGCGCTTGTCAACGGTGCAACAGCCGTGGGATTTCACAGGAGTGATGGTGAAGTGTGGTGGCATTGGCTGACAAGCTCTGGACTTTGTAGTGTCAATAATACTACTGTGAAAAATGATGAAAAGTTCCTTTTGCACTTTATTTTGTTTTAACGTTTCACACGCTCCCTTCTCCTCTGCATATGCGGGGGGGAGGGGGAAAAATCATCCAAAACTGAAAAGAAAAATGCAATAGGAATTTTGAGTTCGTGAAATGGGACGTTAATAATAATCTCTAAACACAAGTTGTGTATGGACTCTCCAGTAGAAATCTGAATTAGCCACCGCCACCTCCTATCACAAACCTCTGAGAGGAACAGCTTCTGAGGCTTTTCTGAGTCTGTGGTTCTTTACAAGTGCGATGTACTAACATTTTCTTTAATATCTGCTTGTTTTTAAGTTATTTGTTTCATATAATTTTTGGAAACTCTTTTGCAATATTAATAATTGTGTTTTAGTTGTTTTACGAGCAGCAATGGAAAAGTCTGTGGCCTGATACAGAAAGCAATGAGTGACCTTGAAGCTGTCATTTCACGATATGGTTCCACTGAATTGCAACGCATTTCATCCAGTGTCCAAACGTTAATCCCCACCTGGAAGAACTTTTTTTCCCCTGCTCCTAAACCACTCGTACATAGCACACGTCACTTCATTGCCACAAGAAAGTCATTTTCTCTGCAAGCGATTCTTTTTACCTGTGGGGAAAATGTGGAAGAAACGGGGGAGTCAAATATTGTATCGGGTTTTTCCACACTTGTCAAATTTTTCTCTGACGTTTACATAGATGTATCACATTTTCTAAATATTTGTGTGTTCTTGATTTCTCTTCATTTTTTAAGAAAATTATTTCTAACACTTGTCAGGAAAAGATAAGGTTAATCTATTGCTTTCAAATTTTTAAAATGTTTTTTATGTACTTTTAATTGATGATTCACCCTATATTGTAGCACCACTCATGCTATGTTAGGCAGTGGACTTTTCCATCAACCCTGGTAAACTCTCATCTAGCCACACACAAAGCAGTTCCGTTCCAAAAACTTGGTTTTTGTTTATGAATGGGAGCAGTCAGCAGGAAACGAGGGGACGAGATGATGATGATGATGTTGAAATGGCTCCTGGCATCTCTGCCATCACTATCTTCACCGCCTTCACCACCATCAGCGCCACCACCACCATCACTACCGCTATCGCCAATTTAATTCCTCGCCTCGAGAAATAGAGTTTCCTGTGGAAAAAGCTTCAGTTCTTCAAACGACTTGTCTGGGTCAAGAACAGAGAGCTGTGAAGAGAAGACAGACGGTCAATGGGTGAGTGTGTGTCCGAGTGACTTGGTAAGTAAATAGATGTGTGAGTGAATGACCATGCCATTGAGTGAGCAGGCGAGTGCATAGGTAGGGTGGTTACATGTGTGGTTGAGTAGTCGGATTTGAGTGGGCGGTTAAGTGTGGGTGCAGGTGCATGGGTATGCAAGTGAGCAAGTGATTGAATGCATCAGCAGGGGGTGGGGTGAATGGATCAGTGAGGCAGGGGAGTAAGTGATGGATTATATACAAACAGTGACTGCGAGAGACATGGAGGGACATGCATGGAAGAGGGAGATAAGGGCTTGGGGGGGAATGGAGAGACTTGGAATGAGGTAGATAAGGTGTGGGAAGAGAGAAGGGACACATTGAAAAACATGAGAAGGCAATACGGGGTGAGGTGGCAGAAGTGAGGCACAGAGGAAAATGGGGTGGATACACAGGGAGGCATGGGAAGTGAAATATGGGGAGGGAAACACGAGGTGGAAAAGGGAGCTAAGTGGTGAGTTAGAGGAAGGGAGACATATGGAAAGATGGAGAAACACACAGGTGGATACATGGAGGAGGAAACACTGAAGAAGACACGGGGAAAGACGCACATCTCTCCGTGGAAACGTCGTGAGCAGCTTGAAGTCTCTCTGCGCAAATCCTCGCGATGCCACGAAGGTGATGAGTGCGCGGAGTGGCTGGGACACGAGGAATCTTCGCTCGAGAAATTCTCCCTGTGGCGTCCTCACACGCAGGCGCGTAATGGGAGCCTCAGCACCCTCCGCCGCCGGCTCCGGGGGGAGAGACTCGGCAAGAGAAGCCATGAGTGCCTGGGAAACGAGGATGATGATGATGATACAGACATCAGTGTCATCTTCATTGCCAGTGATGTTGCAGCTTCTGTTGTCATGGTCACCTTTGCCGATGTCGTTGGTAACAGCAACAGAAATTTAATAATTAATTAACAAGGTCAGCTGCAGAAGGCAGCGCATCTTCGTTATCAGCAGCAAGTGGCATTACCATTATCAGCAGCTGCAGCAGCATCATCACCATGTTCATAGACAGCGACTTCAAAAGTATCATTAGCAGAAGCATCAGCATTAGCACCACCATCAGCAATGGTAATCACCGTCAGGGGGTACGGCTCAAGGGTCATTAGTAGACAGGTCAAGGTGAGGGGTGAAAGAACAGGAGTGTGGTCAAAGAACATGGTGCAGAAACATTGAGGTTGGGCAGGTTATGGTCAAAAGTGGGAGGTTCAGGAGTTCAGAGTCGGCGTTCACCTCTTTTTCCTGCTGCTTTTCTTGTTTGAGTTGTTCCCTCTTTGCCTGCTCAGCAATTTCCTTCTCCTGAGCATCGCGCTGTGATGGAAACATCAGCATCAGTATAATTGCCACCATCTTCATGGGCAGCAGCTTCGTTAGCATTATTATTGCTATCATTATCAAGCAGTAGATGCATCGTCATTATCATTACTAGCATAATCACATCACGATCAGCATCATTATCACTGCCATTATCACCAACACAAGAGGAAGCACAAACTCCTTTGGAAAGCATAAGAGAATGAAGCACATTAAGCATGAGAGAAGCATAGTGAAAATACGAGCAAGCACAAGG